TATTGGCTGTGATGAATATTTTCTGAGCTGCCGTTATTGCCACACCGTAGGACCTTAGAAAGGCATTCAGGTATGTTTGGGCTGGATTGGTGGGGTTCTGGCGCCACACGCACTCTAACCTCCTCTTCTTTCGCTTCATCTCTGCCAGCTCCTCGGTGAACCAAGAGGCTGGTTTAGCTCGGTTACTCGAGAGGGGGCGTTCCGGAGCGATAGTGTCAATTGCCCTAGTCAACTCATTATTCCAACGAGAGACCAGAGTATCGACAGTATCACTAGCCAAGGAGGTGGAGAGATCCCCAAGAGCCGTCAGGAGTCCATTTGGATCCATAAGTCTCCTGGGGCGGACCATTCTAATGGGTCCCCCACCCCTGCGGAGGTTAGGAGGCCCAGTTAGTCTAAATCTGATCAGGTGGTGATCGGTCCATGGCAACGGAGCGATGGTCGGCTCCTCCATCCCGTCACCCTCATCCCATCCCTGGACAAAAACCAAATCTAAAGTGTGCCCGGCACTATGGGTGGGACCCGATATTAGTTGGGACAGGCCCATGGTTGCCATGGCGGCCATGAAGTTCTGAGCCGCGCCAGAAAGAGGGGCCTTGGCATGGACGTTGAAATCTCCCAAGACCAGAAGCCGTTGGAAGCTCAACGCCATGTCCGAGACCACTCCCGCTAGCTCAGGTAGGGAGACTGTAGTGCAGCGGGGTGGTCGGTACACTAACAGAATCCCTATCCTGTCCCGGTCACCTATCCTAAAGCCGGCACATTCAAAGGAAGATGATTGTGGGATGGGACACCTGATCAGTGGAATAAAGTCCTTATAGACCACTGCGACTCCGCCTCCCCGCCCTCCAAGCCTTGGTTGGTGCTGAACGGAATAACCTGGTGGACAGAGTTGGGAGAGATTGACCCCTCCCCCCTCATCCAACCAGGTCTCCGTTATACAAGCCAGGTCGGCTCGTTCTTCTTGGATTAGATCTTGAATGATAGAAGATTTTCCATTTACCGACCTGGAATTGAACAGCACCACCTTTAGCTTGGAGGGGCCACCATCCCGGCACCTCAGTTGTATATTGTCAGGAGTAAGTTTTGGGGTTGTCAAATTATCATTATTAATTTCGGGCCGAATAGTAACATTAATCTTTGGAGTTGTCAATGTCCTATTTAGAATTTTGGGTCGAATTTGCTTTTGTCTTTGATCTTTGGAGGTTACCAATTTGTTATTGAGAATTTTGGGCCGAAATGAATGTTTTATACTCCCTTTCCCGTATCTCCCTCTCCCAGCCTCTATGGCGGCCACCCCACCCGTAGCCCCACACCCCCCGGGAACGTTCCCTCCATTTCCAGCAGTTGTAATCTCAGTTGTGGGCGCATACTCATAGTACTGATTATCTGTCTCTGGGTCCCAATATTCCCATCTCTCAATGCTATCTATTCCTTCCAGTGTAGCAAAAGCTGTAAAGTGCACTTGTGTTGATGCTATAAAGTACACTTGTGCTAAAGTTGTTATAAAGTGCACTTGCGCTGAAAAAGCTATAAAGTGCACTTGTGTTAATATTATAAAGTGCACTTGTGCTAGAGTTATTATAAAGTGCACTTGCGCTGGAAATTGGAGGGATATCAATAGCAGCAAAGGTAAAGTGAACATTGACCTAGAGGTAGTATGCTGATGTAAACAGTTAGCAGGAACCCAAAGAACAGAACATAAAGTGCAATGGCTATGACCACTTGACCTAGGATTTTGGACCACTTAGTCGAGGTATGGAATCTAGCAAGATCTAAAGTGCTTAGAGTAATGATATGAGATTTAGCAGGAACTAAAGTGCTTAGATTAAAGTGACTTTGTGCTGAGATAGATAGTTCTAAAGTGCTCAATAATGCAAAGAATGTCTACTATAAATGGATTCACTTTCCAACCACTCAGTCAAGACAGACAGTTCGCACCGAAGAACCTAGGTCCTTAGGCCCGTGGAGCAAACAAGCCGGCACCCAGGGTCAGGTCTCCGGTTCTTCTTGGCCGTCTTGGGTGAAGATGATCCCAGCAGAGCAGATGGTAATCCGTAATGGAGACAATATATGCAATTATTGGTAACTCAGCAGCACAATTTTACGGATTGTCCGTTGTATAATGGATGTTGTTTGCACTTTTCGTCCTGACCTCAAGGTTGGAAGGATTCAGGACCCCTGTGGCAGGAGCAGTCTGAGACTAGGCCAAGGCAGGTGCAACACAGCTTTATAGTCACTCCCTCCTTGGAGGATTGCTGAGTCGCACCCAGTTGGAAAGGGCCTGGGGCTTCTCCTACTCACAAGTAGTCCAGGGCAGCCAAGCTGGATGGAAGGATTCAGGACCCCTGTGGCAGCAGCAGCAGCAGTCTGAGACTAGGCCAAGGCAGGTGCAACACAGCTTTATAGTCACTCCCTCCTTGGAGGATTGCTGAGTCGCACCCAGTTGGAAAGGGCCTGGGGCTTCTCCTACTCACAAGTAGTCCAGGGCAGCCAAGCTGGATGGAAGGATTCAGGACCCCTGTGGCAGCAGCAGCAGCAGTCTGAGACTAGGCCAAGGCAGGTGCAACACAGCTTTATAGTCACTCCCTCCTTGGAGGATTGCTGAGTCGCACCCAGTTGGAAAGGGCCTGGGGCTTCTCCTACTCACAAGTAGTCCAGGGCAGCCAAGCTGGATGGAAGGATTCAGGACCCCTGTGGCAGCATTCCTTCATGAATAGGAGGTAGCCCAATATTTCCCACCTTGTTCACGGTCTACCCAATGCCCTGGTGCTGGATGAAGTTTCAGAAACTTTGTGTTGGCTGTCATCCTATGCATGTTCATTCTTAGCACTTAAGCCTCATTGAGGGTTGCAATGGGACTTCTGTGTAAGTGCCTTCAAGTTGCCTTCTGACCTATGGCAGTCCCATAATTTCATTGGGTTTTCTTAGGCAACAAACATTCTGAGATGGCTTTGCAGTTTCCTTCCTCTGAAATCACAGTACATATACAAATCACTTCCCCGTAGAAAGGTTATTATTATATGTGAACTGGAAATGGTGATCTTTTCCTTTTTATTTATTCAGGCGAGAGCTCCGTCCTTTTGGGGTTCAAGTCAGTATTATAGAGCCTGGTGGTTTTGCTACACCCATTCAGAACAATATTGTAGAGGCCTTCCAAACGGCATGGAGCCAGGTGCCTTCTGACACCAAAGACGCCTATGGGCAGCAATACATGGAGACCTGTGAGTAAAAAATTACATCAAAGTTGTGCTAAAGGTGGGCAATGTCATTGCATTCATTGCTTTTGAGAGGTGAATTTTTCCTAACCTTTGCAGCACAAAGGCTAATGGGAGCTGTCCAATGTGATGAACTTCTTTGGGGCTTCTTTTTGTGTCAGGAGCTACTTGAAAAACTGCAAGTTGCTTCTGGTGTGAGAAAATTGGCCATCTGCAAGGACATTGCCCAGGAGACACCTGGGTGTTTGATGTTTTACCATCCTTGTGAGAAACTTCTCTCATGTCCCGCATGAGGAGCTGGAGCTGACAGATGGAGTTAAACCCACTCTCCCTGGATTTGAACCACTGGTCAGCGGTCCTGCCGACACAAGGGTTTGACCCATTGCACCACCGGGGGCTCCTTTGGAGCTTATGGTTTGACACCGTGGGTAGTTCCCATAAAATCAGGAGTAGATTTCATAAAACCCAGCATGGATTCATTTTCCAAAACCATCAGGTATGTTGAAGTGTCCCAGAAGCAAAAATAAAAGTAGGAGAGCATCTTACTAAAATGTCATTCTTAAAGTATCATGGATATTTTCACAGGCTGTGCAAACTTCACCCACCTGCTTAGGGTCCTGTTTAATGGTTTGGATTAGACAATATTCCAGTTCATTTTTGTTTGGACAGATCTGACACAAAACTGCAATCAGATCAAATTGTGAACATCTGTATTTTGCCCTATCACTGACTGGTACTGGGAAGCAGAAACAACATAAGAGTTTGTGCTTGTTGTCCTCCCCCCCGCCCCTAAAAAAAACAATTTTAAACAATTTACAGATCTGATGCCCTTCACATGGAAATTAATTGCAGACTTGTAGAGCTACAGAATCTGTATAAGCCACATTTAAACCATGACTTTGATAAAATCAAAGGAAAAAGTGTACATGTTCCTTCAAGTCACCTATCAACTTATGTTATCCCACAAATGTAAAGAGTGTTCTTATACAAGGGATATTGAGATGTGGTTTGCCTTCCTTTCCTTTAAAACATTATTGACATTAACAAGGAGCCAACAAAAGAAACCAAGCAGGAGGAAAAATATTGATTGTATATATCTAATGTATTGACTCTTCAACTTTTCTTTAACTCAAGTACTATAATTGGAAAGTGCTGATGAAATTCTTGCTCCAGTTTGAACCTAGACCTATCTCTCGTATCTCTCCTCCCTCTCTTCTTCCTTCTGGAGTCTTCTTTACATGCTGCTATTTTAAAATATTTAGAAAATATACCATCTGGATAATTGAACTATTTTTGATGCTGTGCCAAATAACTTCAGATAAATGTAATCCAGACCCAATCTAGGTCAGACCTAATCTTGCACTACTTCTTTCCTTCCTCTTTTTCACATGCAGGCTGCAAATTGCTCCGGGATCGCTCAAAGAGAGCCAACAACAACAACTGGCTGGTCACCGACAGCATAGAACATGCCTTGACATCCCGCTACCCTCGCACTCGCTACTCTATAGGTCGAGACGCAAAATACTTCCACCTTCCTATGTCTTATTTGCCAACAGCTGTGTCAGATTTTGTGCTGGCTCGCTTTATGCCAAAGCCAGCACTGGCATTGTAATCAATCTTGTCTAAAATGCTTTGCAAATAAGTCAATAAATCAAGTAGGTGGGACATAACCTCCATACATATACATATATATATCCTAATGAGATGCTGCTCTTAGTTATGACCATTGATTTGTCAATCATAATAAGGTTTTTGCTATATATTTTTATCAAAAGTCTTAAATACTGTTTTAGCTCATTATGACATAATTGTCTGCATAGAAGGACCAAATAAGGGGAAAGTCCTGTGTCGTTCCAGTCACTTGGTTCAATTGTTGAACAATGAGGTAACACAGATAAGCATTTTACTAATTCAATTCCCCTACTGTAGTTGTGGCTAGTAACTGAATGAACGCCCAGGGAATATCTGGAAAGCCAAATATCACAACGGGACAGATAACAGAAAAAAATGAAATGCAAAAATACAGAATGGGGGACACGTGGCTCGAGAGCAGTACGTGGACAACAAGTTAAACATGAGCCAACAATATGATGTCAAAAAAAGCCAATGGGATTTTGGCTTGCATCAATAGGACTATAGTGTCTAGATCTAGGGAAGTCATGCTCCCCGCCCCCCATTCTGCCTTGGTTAGACCACACCTGGAATATTGTGTCCAATTCTAGGCACCACAATTGAAGAGAGATATTGACAAGCTGGAAAGTGTCCAGAGAAGGGTGACTAAAATGATCAAGGGTCTGGAGAACAAGCCCTATGAGGAGCGGCTTAAAGAGCTGGGCATGTTTAGCCTGCAGAAGAGAAGGCTGAGAGGAGACATGATAGCCATGTATAAATATGTGAGGGCAAGTCACAGGGAGGAGGGAGCAAGCTTGTTTTCTGCTTCCCTGGAGACTAGGACACGGAACAATGGCTTCAAACTACAAGAGAAGAGATTCCATCTGAATATTAGGAAGGACTTCCTGACTATGAGAGCCAGTCAGCAGTGGAACTCTCTGCCCCGGAGTGTGGTGGAGGCTCCTTCTTTGGAAGCTTTTAAACAGAGTTGGATGGTCATCTGTCAGGGGTGCTTTGCATGCAATTTTCCTGCTTCTTGGCAGGGGGTTGGACCGGATGGCCCATGAGGTCTCTTCCAACTCTGATTCTATCATTCTATGAATCTGGGTTCTTCACAAAAAGCAATTCTCAAATGCCATAATGGATATAATACAATTTGAAAAACAACCTCCTCAAACGTAATGCCAGATAAAACAATTGTGATGTCTCAGTGCTGAGTCCAGTTTTCTAAAAACCATTTTGGCTTCCCAAGTGTTGCAAGTCAAGTGAGAAATTTATTGTAGTTTAGTAATGTGATAAAACTCAATAAATAACACTATGTGACATGATTTTTGTTCCTGGGTTATAAATTTCATTGCCTAAATGGTTTTATCATAAAACATGGGAAACATTTATTAAACTGCAAAAACTTTGTTTTTGCAGGACATCCTACAGCACATTTTGCTATAGTTTTTCATTGAATATCTGATAGAGTTTCAACCAATTCAACAACTGCTATTGTCAGTAGAATGTGACTATTGCACTATGCAACCCAGATCTCACTAACAGGACACCCACCAGTATGTGTCTGAAATATAGTCCACTGAGGTGTTTAGTTCTTATATCACATACCATCACATATTTGCTTGTCCTAAATGATCTTGACTTTTGCAGATTTGATTACTCATGGATCTGATTAAAATGTTCTCTCTATGAATCTCCAGTTTTACTGAATAATTACCTGTCTCTGATCATGCTAGAAGACCAAGAGATTTCGAAAGAGAACGCCTCTCTGGGACTCTCTAGGACCGGTCGCCCAGTGAAATTCCATGGTCAGCTTTTAGCAGAAGTTAACCACAAAATTATGCTAAAAGACCTGGAAATTCATTGAGAGCTGTTTTCTTGGGGGGGGGGCAGTGGTGCAGTGGGTTAAATTGCTGAGCTGCTGAACTTGCTGACTGAAAGGCTGGCAGTTCAAATTCAGGGAACAGGGTGAGCTCCCGCTGTTAGTCCCAGCTTCTTCCAACCTAACAGTTCGAAAAGATGCAAATGTGAGTAGATCAATAGGTACCGCTTCTGTGGGAAGGTAATGATGCTCCATGCAGTCATGCTGACCACATGACCTTGGAGGTGTCTATGGACAAAGCTGGCTCTTCGGCTTGGAAATGGAGATGAGCATCACCCCCCAGAGTCGGACACAACTAGACTTTCTGTCACAGAAGTACAGACAGGGAAAATTCACTTCTATTCCTCTATTCCTCTCTCTCTCTCTCTCTCTCTCTTATGACCTCATCAGATGGGGTAAAAATCGACAGCATACACTGGTTCCTCTTCCCTTTTGTGACGGAGCCCGTTGACCCCATCCCACAATGTACATCTACTTCTGGTGGGGCTCCATCGCAAAAGGTAACAAGAATCAGTATATGCCACTGCGGTGACAACACAAGAAGCTTTCCATGTTGCATTCGTATCAATGGGGGAAAGCCAGGTGGCGGATGATTCACCCCTGTAGGATGGGGCCCAATGTAAGTCGGGTGATGCGGTGCATGGGACAACGGGTTTCCCATGCTGGGCTCAACCAGATTTACCACGTTCCATGGCAATTCCAACAGCACATATCATGAGGTTCTTAGATTGCTTAATCCCTTCATAAGAGATGTATATCAAGCTCCAGGAAAGACATCAAGAAATATTTCAAACATTCCACAATTTTCTGATTACTGAGATGATGTTAAGGACGGTGTTGTTTTAATGATGTTTGAAATCCACCTCTTTCCCATTGGGTAGACAACATATAAATTTAGCACATACATTTAAATAAACAAAAAACTTTTGTTCAAGAAACTCATTGGAAACTGAGCAGTTCAGCTCTAAAAACTATATAGAGACATATATAGCTCTCAAAACAAATGCACAGACAGAGGACAGAAAGACATTCAATCTAATATGGAACACAAAATTCTTCCATCTGTTTCAATGACTTCGCAAGAGAATTGTAGCCATAAAAATAATTTCTTCAGAACTTATGACAACAAAGATTTACTGATGTTTTGCCCTCTTACTCATTCCCCAGTTTGTGGAGAATGTCTAACATATCTAAAAAGCTAACCTTTCAACCTCCCTGCTCCATGGAAGCTGAAATCATCAAGTGTGGTCCAGCTAGGAAGTACCACAGCTCAGATTTCTTTCAGCTACCCGTTGAACCCTTGCCCCTGTGGCAGTAGGCAACAGTACTGTGCACTTTTAGCCTTGTTCTCTTTGCCCTACTCCAAGCATGGGGAAACTTCGGCCCTCCAGGTGTTTGGGACCTCAACTCCCAGAAATCCCAGTCAGCTTACTGGCTGTTAAGAATTGTGGGAGCTGAAGTCCAAAACACCTGGACTTCATGCCTGCAGACTCTCTTTCACAACTTAAGCACAGGGTTGGGCCAACGTGTGGTTAGCACACATTCCACTGGCAAGGAATGCAGATGGAAGAATGCGGAAAAACTGACCAGTCCAGTGCTTGCATCACTCCTTATTCTGGAGTCACACTGGCTCCCTCTGATATTGCTTGGCAATGTGTGCCCTGTGAAATGACAGAAGGTATGCTTTATCACACTCCACACTTCTTAAAAGGGTGTGAACTAACAACTTGCTTGGATTTGGAAAGAAAACAAAAGCACCATTACCAGCATTCTGAAGATAGGAAAACCCAAAACTTATGGGGAACCTCTGCCAGCAGTTTTCTTATATAGGCTAAGTTCATATCCCCTTTGGACTTGCCTCTTCAGAAAGAATTAGATCTATTTTCATCCCAAGGAGGTAGATGCTGAGAAAAACATTTACTGCTCTTCAATAGGATCAAAAGTTCCCAAGACTCCAGTAGTTGCAGGTGTGTCATGTTAATAAAGGAACCTATCATGAGGTTTTGTTGGTAGAATTTGTTCAGAAGGGCTGTGACTATAGTATTAATTTCAACTTTGATACCTCTTCTCTCCCTGCCTATTTTGTTGTTTGATTCTTGCAATAGTTTGGAAGTGTAGAAAAAATATATTATTTTTTAATTGCCTATATAAAATAGCTCGTGGTTCTGTTGTGCATTATCATTTGACAAACGCCCTCTTCAAATGATCTTGTCATCTTGACTTCAGTTATTTTCCAGTATCTAATCATGTTTTCATCCTACAAACATCCATCCGTCATCCGACTCCAAGGCTCCCTGTTATCAATAGCCCTTCTCAGGTCTTACAAACTCTGGTCCATACCTTGACTGAGATTTTCATTGATGTATCTTCCTCTCTTCCTGCCAACTCCCTTTTACCAAGTATTCTGATCTTTTCTAATGAATCCTGTTTTATCATATGTCCAAAGTAAGATAGCCTCAGTTCTTAGGGAGAGTCCTGGATTGATTTATTTTGGGACCCTTTACTTGTAATGCTGCAGAAATTCCATCTTTTTAAATGATTTCATTAATTTTCTACAGAAAGGTTAACAAGAAAAGCATTTTAAAAAGGGAAACTTTTGTGTGCCCATACAATGAGGTACCAACAAAGACTTATGAGAGATAAGCAAATTGAAGGGTAAAGAAGAAATAAATGTTGAAAAATTAAAATCTGACATTTTCACTCAAGATGGTTTGTGACTGAAATTATCAAACTCCTCAATTCATTTACTTAATTCATCCCTAACCATTTTACCAACAGTACATCTATTTAAATGTTTCTTTCTCTATAGCCACTATACCAGGCAGAATTCCCTTTCTGAATAAAATTCTTCCAACATTTCAACATTTTCCTTTGATATATATGTATAAATAAAAATGCTAAATGACCATTTGTAAGAGGATTGCTATATTTTGAATATGACATTTGTATGTAACAACAATAAAACATATGAACACTATTCTCTCTCTAAGATATGCTGAATTTTAAGTCACCAAAATAGTCATACAAGTCAGACCTTAGGCTAGCTGAATGAATAGAGCAAGCAAAAATATGCAAACAATCTGGATTTTTGAGGCAGTAAGGGATATGCAAATATATATATATTGCTTTACTAATATGCGGAGACATCAAATTTTCCTTCATAAATAGTCTGCAATGGAAATCTTCTGGAGTAGACATTCTACTCTTTCTCCGGTGCATGTGGAAAAGAGAGGAAGGAAGTCTTTTATACTTTTTCAAAGCCTGTGAAAGGAGTCCATTTCCTTTCCCATGAAATTGTGACAACACACATCCCTCCAGACCAAGATAAGAGACTAAAGACTACAGAGTAGAGGTGGCAGAAGTTGGGACTCAAGTTCACCCTAAGAGGCAAGAGGCAGGTGGCTTAACCCTCTCAGATGATCTGGCACAACTGGACCACTGAATTTCTTCTGCAGCTGAGCCTCCGTTCTGTGTGCAAAATCCTATTATATCTGAGCCTGCTCAAGAGTAGGTAAATAACTCTGGAAAAAATAGCCAGTTTTAATGCTTATAAACTGTTCATACTCAAGAACAACTGGATATTAATGGAATGGGGTGAGTGATTTGCTTTCTCCCTGACTGCCTCCCAGGTACGTATGATGATCATTGTTTTTCCTGACCCAACAGGAGACTACAGATCACAGGAAAGGGTAGTCTGTCTTAATAGCCTTAAAATATCTCATTCCTTATGAGACATTTCACTAAGCGTGAAGTTAAAGAATTGGGGGAGGGGTTGGGTTGCAGCAAGCTATTTTTCTACACTGTATGCTGGAGAAAAAGTATCTCTCCAACGGCATCCTGGAGTGAGTAGCACAACTCTGTAGCTGATCTTTTTTCTGCAGTTTTTCTTTGCATTTTCATATGTATGCATTTGTGTGTGAGTGACTAAATTTATTGTTCTAACTGCAATACAACCCCACTTCAGTATTTAGGGCTTTGGGGCGATGGTTCACATTCAATTGACCCTATTGTACATGGTATATTCTGACTCTGTTTTCTATATTAAAAATTACTTTTCCTTATGCCATAATATAATGTGACCAACCCAGAAATAGCTTTTAATATGGAAAAATTCCTAAAAGCACCAAGTACTGTTGGGGAAAAAAATGGAATGCTATAGGTGCGAAGGAGGCATCCAATTATAGAGGGGGTCTAAATACTCTGAAAGCTGCAGACCCCCACTTAATTTTGGCAGCTAGACCACCAAGGAATATCAAGTGTTCTAGGCTCAGTTTCAGAGGAAGGAAGTGGCAAAAACACCTCTGAAGATTCATAATCTAAGTAAGCCCTATGAAATTCATGACACCAACATAAATTAATTGGCAACTTAAACATAATTGTGCAGATGAATCATTTCCTTCTTATCCTCATCTGCTAATGAATTTTATTGTTTTGTCAGGATGTAATTCTTTTTCCCAGAAGGAAGAGTGAGGTTCAACTGAAGCCATTCTCCAGACCAGCAGGAGGTCCTTACTCTTCTCAGAATAGTGTTTCTGCATAAGGTATTTTTTATTTATTTTTATTTTTAGTGTTATTGGTGTTTTTATAACCTGACAGAAATATGATTCTTCACTGTTTGGCTAATTTAAGAACATAAGAAGAGGCATATGAAATCAGATCAGGATTTCCTCTAGTACAATGTTCAGCTCCCTGGGTGGCCAACTAGCTGCCTATAAGCAGAGTGCAACCAAACCCACTGTCGCACAGTCCATAGTGTGTGTGTGTGATATACATACATACACACACACACAGAAAGAGAGAGAGAGAGGGACTGCCTCCAGTACTGGAGGTGGTATAGAGTTGTCCTAGGTATGGAAGGCAGGATTAAGAAAATCAGGTAAATTTCATAACATGCTATGGGGAAACTCTGCAATGGCCTGTTACAGCATGAAAAGAAGGCTGTTCCTTGCTATATTGGTGCATCGAGCTCCTGTTAAAGGAAACCTACCCAACATATTTGAAATGTCTATACAGGCAGTCCCTGGGTTACAAACATCTGGATTATAAATGACTCATAGTTGAGAACAGAGTTGAGACATCAGGAAGTGAGAGAAATCTATGCTTAAGAAGGGAAAATCACTCCTGAAAGAGTTATCATTGGGGAAAGGTGTGTCTACTGAAACTTTGTCATCAATCCTTGTTTCAACAAATTTGTTTCCACAACAAGCCAAATTTTTCAAAATTCAATTATCTCATGGACAGAAAGTGAGGTGAAATCTTCTGAACAGGGGCTCAGACAGCAAAACAAACATCACTGGAGTGTCAATCTTTCCCTACGCTATCCAAAGCTTTAAAAATTGTTTGAAATTACAATTACCTGTTCTGACACAAAATCAACTTAAGAACAAAACTACAGAACCTATCTTGTTAATAACTTGAGAACTGCCTATATTCTGACCTCAATACTGTCAGAGAATATAGTATTTTTCCACAAGTAGTCCTGATTCAACTTTCTACCAGCAATGTAGAAGTCAAACCCACTCCTAATAAGCTAATGTTTCTGTGTCACTTGGCAAAAATAACGTACTCTCAATGCATTAACAAAGCTCTGGCTCCCCCTCACTTTCTCCTTTTTCTATGCAGGTTTTAGCCATGTGGCTCTACCTAGCTGTCTTGCTGGGGTTTTATTTCCTTCGCCAGTGGTACCGGGAGAGACAGACTGTGGGGAATCTAACAGAGAAATACGTCTTCATCACCGGTTGTGATTCTGGGTTTGGGAACCATCTTGCCAGGCAGTTGGATACTCGGGGCATGAGGGTTTTGGCAGCTTGTCTCACCCAGAAAGGGGCAGAGGAACTGGAGAGGCTGACATCAGACCGATTGAAAACTATTATTTTGGATATCACCATCCCAGAGAACGTGGCGGCAGCAGCAGAGTGGGTGAAAGGATGTGTTGGCAACAAAGGTACAGTAGAGGACTTCCTACTGCTGTTTCAGAAATGAAAGTTTTATAAAGCTTATTTTACTTCTGAAAAGGAGAATATGTAGGGACAGGGCTATGCTGAACACTAACCACAGGGCTCCTGGATTCCAAGCTAATGAATGCCACTTTTTTCATTTCCGCCATTTCCCACAGATGGCCTGACACTGGGTTGCAGTGTTCTACTCATAATCAGGGATTTGGCCATAGGAAAGTGGCAATGTAGTGTGTCACTAGAGAGCCTAGAGATGGAGGAAATCCAACAGCAACTGTAGGGAACAGTGGGATGTGCCTTCATAGGTATTGGAAGAGAAGACTCGAAGGGAGACTAAGGGCTCAAATTTGATGGACAATATTATGTTCATTTTTCTAGCATCTTTGCCCCCAGACCGGCCAACTCTAAGACACTTGTGAAACTATGAGTTATGGCAATGTAAAACAAGCCAACCAAGATTCCATAAACAGTGTTATGGCAGTGTAAACCAAGTTTACACTGACATAACCAAGTGTAAAACCAGGTTAAACTGCCATCAGAGTTGTGGCAGTGTAAACCAAGCCAACCAAGATTCCATAATGTTTCTTGATCAGTGTGTGCATATATCAAAAACGAACTAAAGTTTCATGAGCTTTCATGTCATAGTTAATTTGAAAACATGGTTAGGAAACCATCTCTTAATAATGAAATGTTTCAGCCTTGTCTTATTTTCTTCCTTTGGACAGTAATTTGTTTAGTTTTTATTATATATTATGTTTTTAATTGTATTTATGACATTGTAAGCACTGCATTTTGCCCTGTTAACCGCCTTGAGTCACCTACAGGCTGAGAAAGTATACAGTAAATAAATAAATAAACCCTTGGTCACTCTGAGGTTCCATTATATGACATTTGCTTTCAGTTGATCCCCTTAAATTTAGCTAATATGTCCTCTCAACTGCATTCAGTTTAACATCACATGCAAAAACAGCATACTAGATAACCAGCATTTTCTCTCCCCCAATCAAAATGTTGCTTTAGTTCCCAAGAAATAATGAGAGACAACCAAGTGAGCAAACTCTAATCCTGATTTATTTGTCACTAATATGTACACACTTTATCCTAGTGTGTTATTGTCTGATCAATCTGATTTATTTGAGAGCCACAAACTAGGTTTGAATACAACAGTCCTTACATTTCTTAATCATACGCTTGGTTCAGGAATTCCTGGTTCAAACCCTTAGGTTGGATCTACATTGCCATATAATTCAATCTGAACTGCATTATACTGTGGGATTATTTTAAATATATATGTGCCATTTTTATGCTTATATTGCTTTGTTAATTTTATGTTTATGTTGTTTACTGTGTATGTATTGATGATGTTACTTGGAAACCACTCAATGTCCCTTCAGGGAAATAGAGCGATATATAAATGAAGTTTTGTTTGTTGTTGTTGTGTTGTCAGTGTAAACCCATATAATACAGTTCAATGCAGTTCAAGCTGAGTTATATGGGTCTACACTGACTATCTATATATATAAATCTGTAAGGGGCATCCAACGGGACAGCAAAACTCAAAAAAACCCCAACGAAAATTAACCAAAATTCCCGTGCACATACCTCAACCCACAAGGTACAAACAAATCGAATCAAAATAAAAAACAACACAACAACACACTCACAAAAGGACAAAACAACTGAGCATGCGCAATGGCGCAAAGTCCCTGGCTCGCGCACATGGCCAAATGGCCAACGCACCCTCCGCACCTCCCCCCCCCCCCCCCCCCCACACCCACCGACGCCCGCCCCTGCACTCCTCCTCCTCCCACCCACCGACGCCCCGCCCCTCTCCTCCTCCTCCCACCCCCCTCCGCCAAAGCCCCGCCCACACCCCCCAACGCCACCCTGCACCTCCTCCTCCTCCTCCCACCCCCTCCGCCGAAGCCCCGCCCACACCCACCGACCCCGCCCCTGCACTCCTCCTCCCACCCCCTCTGCCCAAAGCCCCGCCCACACCCACCAATGCCCCGCCCCTGCACTCCTCCTCCTCCTCCCACCCCCTCTGAAGCCCCGCCCACACCCACCGACGCCCACCCCTGCACTCCTCCTCCTCCCACCCCCCTCCCAAGCCCCGCCACACCCACCGATGCCCCGCCCATGCACTCCTCCTCCTCCCACCCCCCTCTGTTGAAGCTGCTGGGATTTATAGTTTACCTATAATCAAAGCATTCTGAACTCCACCAACGACGGAATTAAACCAAACGTGGCACACAGGACTCCCATGACCCAACAGAAAGCACGAGAAGGGTTTGGTAAGCAATGGGAAGGAAGGAAGGAAGGAAGGAAGGAAGGAAGGAAGGAAGGAAGGAAGAAGGAAGGAAGGAAAAAAAGAGGTACCGAAGGAAGGAAGAAGAGAAAGTAGAAAGGAAAGAAAAACAAAAGGAAGGAAAGGCAGGAAAGAGGTAAAGACGGAAGGAGAAAAAGGAAATAAAAAATGAAAGAAGGAAGGAAACATGGAGGGAAGAAAGGAGGCAAAGGAAGAAAGGGGGAGGGAATGAAGGAAAGAGAGAAGGATGAAACCAAGGAGCGAAAGAAGGAAAGAAAGAAAGAAAGAAAGAAAGAAAGAAAGAAAGAAAGAAAGAAAGAAAGAAAGAAAGAGGTAGAGAAGGAAGAAAGGAGAGAAAGGGGGAGAAAAAGGGGGAAGGAATAGGTAGGTACCTCTCTTTCATAATACTCCAGATATCTACCTCTACTTTGAAAAGATTTACTATAGGCCACAGCAACGCGTGGCAGGGTACAGCTAGTATATTAATACAGTTCAAACTGCATTATTTGGCAGAGTAGATCCAGCCTGAGATGAAGATTAAAAATTAGAGTCACTTTGTTTTTGTAATTTCTTATACTTAATGTTCTCTGTGCAGTGTAGTAGGCAATTAACTGGGTGTCATAGGAAAATATTATTGACCTCTTCAGGGTAGAATACTTCTCCAGGAAGAACAGAAAAGTTTGACAGAATTACAGTTTGTGCACTCAAACTTGCAAAAGCTATAAAAATGAAATAAATTTAAAAATCAGTCCTGAACAGGGCAATTCTCTCTTGCAGGTCTCTGGGGCTTGGTAAACAATGCTGGCATTGGTGATCCATCAGGTCCCAACGAATGGCTGACCAAAGATGATTTTGCAAAGGTGATCAATGTCAACCTGCTTGGCTTGATTGATGTGACTCTACACATGCTGCCCCTGGTGAGAGCAGCCAGCGGAAGAGTGGTCAATGTCACCAGTGTATTTGGAAGACTACCTTACATCGGAGGAGGCTATTCTCCATCCAAGTACGGCGTAGAAGCCTTCTCTGACAGCCTAAGGTAAAATACCAGCCAGGTGGCTACTAAGTAACATGGGCCATTCTCCAGCTATTTCTCAATTAACATTGAATATCCTGAGCTGTACTGACCATGGGTCTAAACTCAACTGTTGGTACCAACTAGAATAGAATTTTAGTAGGAACTTCACAAGTCATTGAAGGGTTGTTTGAATGGGGTATGTGCTGCACTTTTTTCTTTATTATTATGTTTTTAAATGCTCTTACATTATTTTAAATTAATAGCTTGTTAGCAGGGTAGCATACCTATGAATGCACCTTAAACCTTTTCAACCCCTTTTAGCCGAAAATGTTTTCACGTGACCCCAAGTATATAGGTGTACAAAATAGGTATAAAAACCAAACATTTACTGAAAATAAGTCAGCATTTGAAAGACTTGCTAAACAGGCCTATTTTCCTTTTTGTGAAGTATAGCTGAAGACTTTTCTGCAAGTCCAGTAAACACTGGCTGTTGTTACTAACAGCTCCCCTGATTTATCTGTAAAGGAAGAATATTAACAAGTAAAAGATCCCTATTTGGATTTTGGAGTGCATCTGGTCAGTCTATAGAGCCAGTGTGGTGTGGGGCTTTGAGTGTTGGACCATGAGTATGACTCTGAAGACCAGGGTTTGAATCCCTGCTTGGGCATGGAAACCCACTTGGTGACCTTGGTCATAATTTCTCAGCCTCACAGGAACGTAAAGCTAACCCTCCTCTAAACAAATCTTGCCAAGAAAACCCCATGACAGGTTCATCTGAAGAGTGCCATCACTCAGAAACACCTTGACAGTATAAAGCAATAACAACTAAGCACGTACTATATGTACTATCGTACCAGTTGGGTATCCCTTATCTAGAATTCTTAAGGCCAAAGGTGTTCTGCATTCCAGATTTTTTTTACCAGATTTTGGAATACTTCTATGTACATTATGCCTCTCAAGATTAAACATGAAATTCATTTAGGTTACATACATACACATAGCCTGAAGGTAATTTTATGCACAATATTTTAATAACTTTGAGCATGAAACAAAATTTGCATACACTGAGCCATCAGAAAGCAAGGGTGTCACTGTCATTGCCACCCACGTGGACATTTCTGGATTTTTTTTGTTTTGTTTTGTTTTTTAGTATTTTGGATTATGAAATACCTGATATATATAGTGCTCAACCTGTAGCAGCAACTGCAATACTCCCTCTGTTGGAAATAAAAAGTATCAACACATACAACAGGGGCAGGCAGTAAATGAGCACATAGAAAAATGCATTTTGTGTTTTCTCTTATACCCTTCACTATGAAACTATGCACAGTTATAGCAGCTTGGTCCCACTTTTTTGCAATGGCTCCAACCTGGGAATTTTATCATCTCCAGTCTAGACCTATGACTTCATCACATGAAAATGGGGCAAAACAGAGGGAACCACCTTCTTTGTTCCCTATCATTAGGTCCTGTGCCTTTTCTTGTTCATGGATGACTGCCATTGAAAGTATACCTAGGGCACTGCTTTGGGGAACATGCTGGCTGGAGGAGACTAAGATTTGTCATCTCCAAAGTGACTTTTCTAAGCACCAGTTGGAAGTGCCTAGGCCAGTGGTTCTCAACCTGGCATCCCCAGATGTTTTTGGCCTACAACTCCCAGAAATCCCAGCCAGTTTACCAGCTGTTAGGATTTCTGGGAGTTGAAGACCAAAAACATCTGGGGACCCCAAGTGGAGAACCACTGGCCTAGAGCCAGTGTGATGACCACAATTCTGAACATGTATACATTTGCACTAAATATGAATTTTCAGAAACACAAAAAAAAACCTCTTAAGGAATAGAACTGTATCTCAATAATTCTGTAAACAATTGTACAGATAGCAACATCATTTTGTTCCATTTCAGGCGAGAGCTCCGTCCCTTTGGAGTCCAACTCAGCATTATTGAACCTGGTGCTTTCCACACACCTCTGCTCAAATCTATGGAAGAGACGTTCAGAAAAACATGGAGCCGGGTGCCTTCTGACATTAAAGAACTCTATGGGGAGCAGTACTTGGAGAACTGTAAGTAATGAAAGCACTGTTCCATATGCTTAGTGGATTGTAATGCTCTGAGCAGTAAACTCCAGCTTCTTTCTCACCGCTCATGTGCAACCACGCTGCTTGGTGCCAGAATGTGTTCCCATAGCCAGTTAGTGGCTTGGGAAGTAGACAACGGCCAGTCCCATTGCACTCCCAGATGAGAGCCAGCTCAGCACAAAAGATACTCAACACATATAGTTTACATGTACATAGTATATTTTATAGATATTGTTGGGGAAAAATATAAAAACCATAATTTACAGCTGTAAATTAGGTTGGCCTCTTTATGGGTTCAGATCCAAGCACTGATCAGTGATTACCATGCCTATTGGCTAATGAGTCCAACTCTCTGACTAACTGTTGGAGTCCCGTGGAATGATGGGAGGGGACCACAGTGGCAGCCACCCACCCCACATGATTTCCCACCAGCAGGGGGTGCTGGTGAAGGCATCATCCCTGCAAGTGTCCTTTTCAGATTCAGGACCTATGCCAGACTACCCCAACACTTTGCTACAAGTACAGAAATCACCATGAAAACAATCCATCGTTCAGATACCACAAACAAGCCATATACGAAGGACAGATGGGTGGGACACTGGTCAGACTCCAACTGTGGAATTCCACGAAGCTCCTCCCCTTATATACCATCTGGCCTGACCAGAATGAAAACATCCAAACAGAACAGCCAAGAACCCCAGTCAGGCCACCCAGCCAATCAATTTTGAACCCTATGGTTTAAACCAGGAGTCCTCAAACTTTTTAAACAGAGGGCCAGGTCACCGACCCTCAAACTGTTGGAGGGCGGGTTATGATTTGAAAAAAACCATGAATGAATTCCTGTGCACACTGCACATATATTATCTGTAGTGCAAAAAACACTTAATTACAATACAATAATTAAAAAGGAAGAACAATTGTAACAAATATAAACTGATTAATATTTCAATTGGAAGTGTGGGCCTGCTTTTGGCTGATGAGATAGGATTGTTGTTGTTGTTGTTGTTGTTGTTGTTGTGTGCTTTCAAGTCATTTCAGACTTAGGTTGACTCTGAGCGAGGGCCGGGTAAATTACCTTGGAGGGCTGTATCCAGCCCCCAGGCCTTAGTTTGAGTCCCCCTGGTTTAAACTGATTGACTGCCTGTCCCCTGCGTGCCATGCAGTGCCATGAAGGCATGGGGGAAGCCCTCCAGCCAGCCATGAGGATGGGGCAAACACTGGCAGCTTCACTCCTTACCGAGCAGTGAGTTGCACAATTCTATTTCTGCAGATGAGAATGCAGAAGACTTAATTATCTTGTATCTCCAGCAAAAACCGGAGATGGGTTGGGAGGAGCTGTAACATCTTCTATACCAGTGGTTCTCCACCTGTGACTCCCCAGATGTTTTGCCTTTCGAATCCCATAAATCCTAACAGCTGGTAAACTGGCTGGGAATTGTAGGCCAAAACACCTGGGGACCCACAGGCTGAGAACCACTGTTCTATATGATCTTGGCTGCAGAACCACTGTTGGACACCACCAGCTGACACGCTCCCCCAACTACGAGTTAGCCATAGTGGCACATGGGATGGGGGAGTGGGATGGCTACATGGGGTGGGGGGAGGATGAGATGAGATGTCTTGAAAAGTTGCTCAATGTCTCTTATTTGCAACAACTAAGGAGCCCCTGGTGGCACAATGCGTTAAACTGAAAGGTCGCAGAGGCTCGAATCCGGGGAGAGTGTGGATGAGCTCCCTCTGTCAGCTCCAGCTCCTCATGCAGGGACATGAGAGAACCCGCCCACAAGGATGTTAAAACATCAAAACATCTGGGCATCCCCTGAGTAACATTTTTGCAGACGGCCAATTCTCTCAACCAGAAGCAACTTGCAGTTTCTCAAGTCGCTCTTGACATGAAAAAAAAAGTTGTAACAACTTTTTAAAAACACATGTAGGCACAACAGAAATTTAAACTTATGTGTGTCAGCAACAGGCAGGGGCGGCTCAACCCATTATGCAAAGTAAGCATTTGCAGTATAGTTGATTTTGCCCAGGGGGGCTCTTGAGGCACTCTTGGGGGAAAATAGACCTTGACATATGCGAGTTGTAGTTACTGGGATGTATAGTTCACCTACAATCAAAGAGCATTCTGAACTCCAGCAATGATGGAATTGAACCAAATATGGCACACAGAACTCCCACGACGAACAGAAAATATATATCAGTGATGGGGGGGGGGGGGGGCCAAAATACTGTTTGCTTACCATTGAAAATTACCTAGGGCCGCCTCTGGCAACAGGATTCCATTCTCCATCACCTACTTCGCATATATGTACATTGCTATCCAGAAATTGATAAGGCAAGAAATAAAATGGTTGACTAGCTTCTAGGCCTTCCCACTGGAATCTCATTCTTGAAGTACCATAAATACATCAAGATTTCACAGCCCATTCCTGAATTTTCACTGAGGAATATTACAAAGCTGTCTTGACAGCCTTTGATTATGAAAATATGCAAGTTGCCTTTTGTAATCTGGGTCTAACTTTTTCTTTTATTTCTGGTTTTCCCCACACAGTGTGCAAAGTATGCCAACGTATCATCCAGGATGCCAGCCAGAACCTCTCTCTGGTTACTGACTCCATAGAGCATGCCTTGACGTCTTGCTACCCTCGCACACGCTACACTGCAGGTTGGGACGCAAAGCTGCTCTTTATCCCTCTTTCCTATATGCCAACATCACTAACAGAATATATGATGACTTATTTTATGCCAGAGCCAGCACAGTCAATGTAAATTAGTGTATTATGCAAGGCCCATGGAAAAAGGGCTTTGCCGTCTTCCAAATCAGCCAAGAAGTTGTATAGATGGGGCACAACTTCCAGTTCTTCTGGGGAGGCCCTTCTTTCGCCCCCGCCAGTCTCCCAGACTCATCTGGTGAGTACAAGGGAGAGAGCTTTTTCCTCTGTGGCTCCCCGACTCTGGAACGCACTTCCTGGAGAGATTAGGAAAGCCCCTACCCTAGAAACCTTTAAAAAGAACCTTAAAACCTGGCTCTTCCACTGCTCATTTGATGAATAGATTTACATCCACATACTAGTGCTTAGTTTTCATGGTTCTGTTACTGGAGTGCATTCCCCCCTATAGGAAAGCTTTGCTTCACAACCTCCACTAAAACGAGCTCTCCACTGCAAATAATCTGTCCTTGTTTATCTCGTGTTTATCTTGCCTGAGTTTTTAATCTGTTTCTACCCAGTTTTCTTTTATCCATTACATGTAGCTCGCCCATGTTATTGTGATTGTGTTTATTGTAATTTTATATTGCTATGTTGTCTTTTGTTTTATGTAATTGCATTATTATTGTTTATTATTTGCATTTTCGGGCTTGTTTTATTTCATGTAATTGTTGTTTTGGGCTTGGCATCATGTCAACCGCACCAGGTCCTCATCAGGGAGATGGAGTGGGGTACAAATAAAGATTATTATTATTATTATTATTATTATTATTACCTCAGTCATCATGTGACCGAAAGATTTGTCAGGTTAATTTCTGTTTCCGTCAATTCTGAATTATTGACCCATCTTGGAACTGACATGATATAGCAATTTACTTCTGCAGGTGAGATTGAAATTCTCACTTCAGCAACCTGAACTCGCCGGTGAGAGAGTAAGTATTTTTATGTAAGAAGGTTTATGGACCAAAATGACATTACAGTTGTGAAGTTAGGCTGCCAGTTAAAACCTAGAATGAATTGTTGGGAGAGATTGCTAAACCAATCTCTTACCTTATAGTTATGCAATGTTTTAGTGGTGTGTGCATCCATAATCTTCAGCTGTCTGAGTATAGGTCCATTGTCAGAGGCAGCCCTAGGGAATTTTCAACAGTAAGCAAACAGTATTTTGGTGCCGCCCCCCCCCCCCAACCAATCATTGATATATATTTTCTGTTCGTCGTGGGAGTTCTGTGTTCCATATTTGGTTCAATTCCATCGTTCATGGAGTTCAGAATGCTTTTTGATTGTAGGTCAACTATACATCCCAGTAACTACAACTCGCATATGTCAAGGTCTATTTTCCCCCAAGAGCGCCTCAAGAGTGCCCCTGGGCAAAATCAACTATACTGCAAATGCTTACTTTGAGTAATGGGTTGAGCCGCTCCTGTCCATTGTCTTGAACTTGTATCTCTCCTGCTTTTCCTGCTGTTTGATAGATCACATCGTAGCTGGTGGTAGAGCTAATGGCGGGTGAAACTTGGGTAACCCAGACTGCACACAAAATATAGACCTCCAAAAAGAACAACAGAACAAAACTGCATCTGCCAAAAATAAATTATACACACACAGAGAGAGAGAGAATGTATACATCCCAGTTTAAAGGTAAAGGTTTCCCCTTGACATTAAGTCTAGTCGTGTCCAACTCTGGGAGGTGGTGCTCATCTCCATTTCTAGGCTGAAGAGCCGGTCATGTGGCCAGCAGGACTGCATGGAGTGCTGTTACCTTCCCACCAAAGCAGTACCTATCAATCTACTCACCTTCACATGTTTTCGAACTGGTAGGTTGGCAGAAGCCGGGGCTAACAATGGGAGCTCACCCCATCCGCAGATTCAAACTGCCAACCTTCCAATCAGCAAGTTCTGCAGCTCAGCAATTTAACCCGCTGCACCACCACAGCCCCCTACATCCCAGTTTATCCTCAACTTATCTCAAACTATCAGATCTGACAAATACTGGTATTAATGTACCACCAGCAGCAAAAACACCTGCTCTATCAGTGTGGAAAGGACCATTACCCACGTAAACTGGAATATACATTCCCTTCTTCTATTTAAAACTGTTCTAGTAATTGATAATTGAAATTATTCTACATTTAACCATTTTGTCCAGCTTTCCAAGAAAAAGGTTCCTTCTCAACACAGAATCATCTAAAACAGTGTACCGTGGTTTAAAGGGGTCACAGTTTTATATAAGTTACAAACAAGAAAGGATCAGTAGGTCTGTTCTTCAGTTTTTATTGTGTATGGAATTGCAATTGTGGACATTTTAACTTACCTCCCCCCACCTCATATCATCATTACCACCTTTTGATGTATTTTGAAGTTTCTCTGACATGGAAGAAAAATCCCCACTACCACCTTTCTGAGGTATTAAAACCTGTCCACACCAATTGTTAGAATATGCCAGGGTATAGACAAGCTTCACCTTGATTACCCCCAACTTTTTACCCCCTCCAACATTCTTCCCATTATGAACCTTCGGAAGTATGGGTGCCAGATGTTGACCAGCCAAAGTAGAGGTCGATTGACATAAATGAAGGATAATTACGCAAGATCATGTGCTAATGCGGTGGAAATCAAAGAAAAACGTATGGCTTTGAACATGCCGCAAAACAAGCATGACAGCAGCATTTCCACACATCAAAGATCAACCTCTGAAGGGTTGTGGGATTCTTTGTTCATTGGATCTTCCAAGAGCAGAGGAAATGGGGTTTTCATTAAAGTATTTTTAGAAGTCTACACCCATGGCAGGAGGAGTCATGCATTTTGTAAAATTAAGCTGGAAATAATAATGCAGGGTTTCTGTGAGTTTTCCAGGCTATATGGCCAAAAGCATTCTCTCCTAACATTTCACCCATTGAATGGCCTTGCCATTTATTAAATGTAATAATAATTATTAAATGTAATAATACATTTTGTAAAAACTAACTGTGGAACTGCACTTACCATATGTTATCATAGACTATTTGAAATTGCTAACACTGACTTTTGTTGGGTGAAATTGTTGAGCCTAGTAGGCTGAGCTGTTATATTTTCCGTTACTGAACCACCACCACCACCCCCTTCCATTTATTAACAACTGTTGCATAGAAACAGCTTCCTTCTCCATATCAGGCTTTTGAGGGACATAGTTGTCTTACTCCTGGGCGTGACACCAACTGATTTATAAATCACCTTGGAGAGTGTTAGTTTTATGGCATTGTAAATCTAGAAAAACAGTCTGGGTCTCTGAGAGGATTATGGTGGGTATGTAGAAATGTAATCTGAGCCATGGGCCTAACAGCATGAAAGCATGTAGTTTTTAAATACCAAACCAGATCCTGGGAATGTTAATTTCTGGATTTCAGTTGGTTTTGTTCCAGTTATGCTGGTATTAGTTGTCTTGTCCCCAGCAGCACAACCATTCATTGGATAACCAGAAGAGCTACCAATTGTGATTTGGTTTGGTTATTTGGGGTGCCGATTCAGAAAATTGCATTGGATAGATCAAATAACCAACCCAAATCTAAATGATGAATTTGTGATTTTACTCTGATGACCTGGCCTTATGTAATTGTATGATTTGTATTTTAATGTATTTTATGTATTAATGTATTATGGTGTTGCTTGTTTATGTTTTTTATACTAATTGTGTATGAACCTTTTGCTGTGAACCAGCCTGAGTCCCTCTTCAGAGGTCGAGAAGACCGGGTTATAAAAGCTCTAAATAAATAAATACAATTTTGCAACTAGTTGTGCTATTGGAACCTGTATTCTTCAATCCACACCCTATTACATACTTTAGAAATAAGTTCCATTTTGTGCAACATTATTTGTGGCAATGGAATGCCACCATCAGATAAAACCACTCACCTTCCAACTAGAGCTTGTTGGCCCTGAATTTTCATATAGACCAGTGATTCCCAAGAACTAAAATATGGTCCACGGCCTCACCATTACTACACCATTGCAATGAGAGCGACTGGTCTTGCGAAACCCTCTTATAGTGCAGAGCCTTATTAAATAAGGTTTTCTGTGGGCGAGCAGATGGCAACTCCTGAATGGGATATGTTCTGTATCGGAAACTAGTGTTGATGTGATCTATCCAATGCAATTTTCTGAATCAGCACCCCAAATAACCAAACCAAATCTAAAGTTGACCAAAAACCGATTCGTAACCCTTTTGGTACTAATGTTGGAGAGTGGTCCCAGCTCAAAGAAGATTGGGAACCATTGCTTTAGATGTAAGAAGCCAACTGAGCACAGTGCTGATTGACAGTGTATTGCTACCCCAATTGCACTCCTCTCTAAAATGCAAGTACTTTAAAATACTGCTGTTTTTTTAATTCTTATTAAGCAATGGGTAAACATAGAACTGAATAAAGCTGTATGTGACACTTTTTTAAAAAGTAGAAACACGACTGAGACTTAATAAGCAAAACAGATTGCTGAATCAACATTTGGATTCCTGACCAATCCAAATGGAAAATACATTTAGAAGACAGGGACCATATAGAATCATAGATTTGAAAGGCTCCTATGGGCCATTGAGTCCAACCCCTCAATAAGTGCTAGATCTCCAGCTAGAACATCTTTACTGGATAGCTGTCTAACATCATCTCAAATTCACTTCAAGAAATTTTATACACAGGGAACCACTATTTGATACACAGGGAACCACTATAGAACATCTTTATTGGATAGCTGTCTAACATCATCTCAAATTCACTTCAAGAAATTCTATACACAGGGACTATTAACAGACTTCATAATGCAGTTTCTTCCAGTGTCAGAAGTAGTGCAATAGATCAAAAGTGCTTCTGCAATGAGTTTGGGAGAATACATATTGTTGTGGGCATCACTTCCCTCTGGTTCACTTCCCAATCAATTTCCAGCATGCAGACAAATTTAACCTCTTCACTGTAAAGCAATAACTTCCCACATTTGCTTCCTTTTTTCTACCTGCACGGTTTCAGAGTTTATTCCTGGCACTCTTCAGAATTTCATTTGTTGCACAAGCATCTCCATACTGTTTTCAATATTTCAGATTTGTTTTATTTATTTATTTACTAACTTGGGGACCCAGTGATGCCCAGGTTATTTGAGAAGGGCATTTGTCAGCTGGGGTATTTGTCGGTTGGGTTCAGTGCTCTCTGGAGAAGGCAGAACTACAGCTCCCTTCTCCAATCACACCCAAACTCTGCCTGGATGTTCAGTTCAGAATGTTAGGTCTGTGTGCCAAGTTTGGTCTGGATGCAGCATCAGCTTGATTCATGCTCTCTGGATAAAGGTGAACTACAACTCCTATATGCCAAGGAAATCACCGCCCCCGCAAAAAAAAACAAAACAAAAAAAAACACTGCCTGTGTGCACAGTTGGCCATGTTGGGTCTGTGCACTAGGTTTGGTCCAGATCTGATGTCAGTTGGATTCAGTGCTCTCTGGAGAAGGGTGAACTACAACACCCAGATCCGAAGTCAATCACGCCCAAATCCCACCTGTATGCACAGTTGGCCATGTTGGGTCTCTGTGCCAAGTTTGGTCCAGATCTGACATTGGCTGGGTTCAGTGCTTTCTGGATAAGGGTGAAGTACAACTCCCCAAATCAAGGTCAATTCCCACAAACTCCTGCAGTATGTTCAGTTGGTCATGGGGCTTCTCTGTGCCAATTTTAGTCCTGGTCCATTGCCAATGGGGTTCACAGTTTCTCTAGATGCCTGTGCACTATAACACCCTTAAATCAAGGTCAGTTTCCCCTAAACGTCTCCAGTATGTTCTCTTGGTTATGGAGAGTATGTGTGCCAAGTTTGGTCCAGGTTCGTCATTTATGTGCAGTGGTTGGTGGAAGTCAGAGCTGAATTGGCTGCAAATCTCATCATCCATGGTTCGTCCTCCCCCAAAACACACCAGGACGTAAAGTGGGTCATGAGGAGTCTGTGTACCAAGTTTGGTCCAGGTCCGTCGTTCGTGGGGGTTGCAGTAGCCTGTGGAAGTGGGAGCCAAACGGAAAGCTGCCACATACATACAAACACAGATGCAAACACAGATTGACTTTTATTATACAGATAGATTTATTTTGCAACTTCTGCAAGCCCCTACACTCCAAAACAAGATTTGTAACAAAAATGTGCACTCCTCTTTCAGAATACAGTAATGAGGAAAAGGCAGGGAATGGCAAAATGCATCTTTTAGTATTCTCTGCATGTGTGTGTGTGTGTTCATGTGTGTGGATATACCATTCTTGTGCACTCAGAAAATCAGGAATTAATTTACTGTGCAAGGGCAAATTTCCTTAATGACAAGGCCACAAACAACTGGTCTTTAAGTTGCACGGTTCTTCCAGTAGGAAAGACAGGCAAGAATAATGAGGGACAAGGCCCAGATTGGGGGGAGTTTTTAAGCTATGTGCCGAGTTGACAACAGAATCTGACTGGAGGATGTACAAATGCGTAAAGAAATGTTCTCTCCAAGAATCTTTAAGTCCTCCAGAGCAGGCATGTAGCCGGGGGGTGGGGGGGGGGGGGGGGGGGGGCTACATGCCACCATGAGAATTTGGGGGGGGGGGCTTGAGGGGCTTCAGCCCCCCCCCCAAATTCTCATGGTGGTTTGCGAAAAGACCTTACTGGTGCATTATTTAAACTGCTATGTTTATTCATATCATGATCTGATCACTATACTCAATATATCCCATATGCATGGGGGTATTGGGGTAACGATACAAAAGGTTTGCTAGGGTAGACCCTCTTTCACTCAGACTCAGCCCCCCCCCCCCCCCAATCGAAATCCTGGCTACGGGCCTGCTCCAGAGCATCTCTATGGTGGAAGTTGACCACAGGATTACACTGGAGAACCTATAGATTCCTAGAGAGAACATATTAATCAAATCTGTGAATAATTAAAGCCACAAGACGACTCCACATATTTAAATGTTTGGTGTTTAGCACGAGAAGAAGTAACCCTAGTCTTCAATTCCACCCTTCAAAAAAGTAACCTTGAGCCCTTTCCACTCCACCTCATATGGCTTGAGCAGGTTTTGGTTTAGACCAGGACAGGATCAAATCCGCCAAGGCTGTGGGCAAGTAAGAGAGAGGAATGAAGAAGAACTGGGCATCCCAGCCCGCAGAATAGCGTGTACGAGGATGCTTGGATATCAAGGCGTGCTCCATGCAATCCGTAACCAGGTAGAGGTTTGTGTCGCACCGAGATGAGAGATCTTCTCTAAGTAACTTATACACTGTATGAAAGAGGGACCGGGGGAGAGAGAGAGCTCAATGAGAAAGCTGTAATCCAAAATTCTATTATACCAGAAAATAAAGCAGCCTTTGGTACAATGGCATAGATACATATACTGTCTTCTTCAGAAAGACATCCCTGATTGGCAAATCTGTCCCATTATGAAATTGTTATATCTCAACAGGTAAGACTCTGCCTTGTCAGGAAAGGGAAACAGGTTTTGGTTAAGTGGTTGAAAGTGAACTACTTGACTTCCAAACAGAGAGCTCAATACAATCACTAGGTGACGGCTAACTTGTGCGATCGGCCCCATCCATGCTGCAGAATAATACTTTCACACCATGTTAACTCTCACGGCTCAATGCTATGAAATTCTGGGATTTGTAGTTTTGTAAGCTGTTAAACTGGATGGGATTTCTGGGATTTGTAGGCCAAAACACCTAAGGACCCACAGGTTGAGAACCTCATCAAGACAGGGAATATTAGACATGTAGGCACCTAAGTCGCTCCTGACACACACACAAAAAAAAACCTAAGAGGAGGGCTTGGAAAATTTCCATTTTTGAAATATAGCTCCAAGAATCTTACTACTGGTTATGCTGGTTTAGAGTCTAAGAGTTATAATCCAAAAGTTATATTTCCAACATGGGTCAGATCTCATAAAAATGACTTTTTATTTTATAACTCTCGGGATCCCCTGGCCAACATGGCCAGTGGCTCGTTATCTGGAAGTACAAAAGTTGAACTTTTTCAAGCCCTGTTGCATTATGCATTTTGGAGCAGATTTCTTACCAGGTTTACTATTCCAGCCCCCTCCCCATAAGTATTTGGGGACTTGTAGTCAAAGTTTATAAACATCCCACTTTGCAAATGGATAGTGAGACTCTGCTAGTAGTGGCTTCTACCCAGGACAGATAGAATGAAGATTCTTTACACTAATAGTAAACAAATGAACAGAATTTCCCCATCAACCACAGCATAAAAAACAAGATCCTGCCTACAGGATTACATAAAGGACTCACAATTGGTGTAGTAGGTCTGGCCATAGCTGTCTTTGATTTCCTGTGTGACATTGATCCACCGATGCTCCAACCAGTTAAGGGCGTCTTGGACATGGCTCATGGCTGTCCTGAAGTATCCTGGCTCTATTATAGCTACTTTGACTCCAAATGGGTTGAGCTCACGCCTAGAAAGAGATACATGGATAAAGGGCAGTTGTAAGTTTAGTGGTCTACTCTATGCTGAAGCACTTTAAAAACACCAAAGCACAGCTGGCCAGGAGTGATTGCTTATAAGAATAGTAATCAGTGCATCTCAGTGGACTGGTAAAAAAAATCTGCATTTTCTGGCAGATGTCTAGCTATAGATATTGCAATTCATGGGTTCAGTTTGTAGCCACTGTCAGAGCCTCAAAACAGTACCTGGGTTGTTTGTGGTAGGCACTGCACAGCAAAATCTGATCATTTTAATCCACCTCCAAACCGAATAAGAGTATCTGTTTAGAACTTCCCTATAGAGATATAAACATATTTACAAATTCAGTTTCTCTGTGTGTGTTTTTTTAGTGTGTGTGTCAGGAGCAACTTGAAAACTGCAAGTCGCTTCTGGTGTGAGAGAATTGGCCATCTGCAGGGACGTTGCCCAGGGGACGCCCGGATGTTTGATGTTTTACCATCTTTGTGGGAGGCTTCTCTCAAGTCCCTGCATAGGGAGCTGGAGCTGACACAGGGAACTCAACCTGCTCTCCCCAGATTCAAACCGCTGACCTGTCAGTCAGCAGTCCTGCCAGCACAAGGGTTTAACCCATTGCGCCAATGGGGTTTTCTCAGTGATAAAGAATGTATCAATGTGTCAACATATTCTGCTTCAAACTTTCACAACCATGGAAAGATCCATTAGTCATCTTTCCTAGCTCTTATCTAAACTAATCACTTGTAGAGGACTTTTGAATTTAGGATGAGAAGTAGAGCAGACAGCTCTTCAGTCCAAATATATGGCAAACGTTATCTCTTGAAACTACACCACTTAGCACAGAATTGCCATTTTCTACTAAAACAAATGGCCCACGTTCTTTAATAAAACCAGCTTCCTAACCTACAAATTATCACAATTCTCTGACTCTTGCTATCCCTTGGTCTGGTGTCAGAGCCATTTTGAGACCTTGGTGCAAAAAGGGGGCAAATGTGGCTCAGCAAACATTGATGGACCGTACCTCCGATAATCCCTCATTATTGGTTGTTTAGTTCATAAAATTATCAGAAGGGTGGCATTTTGCCCACTCGCATAACCTTTTGGTGATCCTGACAGTTAGAAACAATGCAGCATTACCTGAGGGAGTCAGAAAAAGCCTCCACCCCATACTTAGAAGGGCAGTAGCCTCCTCCACAGAAAGAGAGCCGACCTAGGATACTGGCCACGTTGACCACCCTTCCCTTGGCCTTCCTCAATAGGGGCAACATTTGTAGAGTCACATCTATCAGACCGAGGAGGTTGACATTCAGCACTTTCTCAAAGTCTTCCTTGGTCAGCCACTCGTTGGGGCACGCGGAACCAAAAATGCCAGCATTGTTCACTAAACCCCAGAGCCCTGTGAGACAAAGGAGGCATGGAAGGAATTGCATAAAACAGAATTGTAACAAACAGCAAAACATCAGTGAAAGGGCAGGAAATGGTCATGGCTCCCACTACTAATTTCATTAGAAATTATGTTTGAGCACCCAGCAAAGGGAGATTAATGGTTGCATGCATTACTGGATAAGTTAATAGCATCCTGATCTGAGCTAGACAAAGAACAATTCTCCAGTTTTGTTAGATTGCAACTCCAGGCATTAGGTACCATTGCTGGATTTGCAGTCCAGCAATATTTGGGGGCTGCACAGTACCCACTGTAGCATGTAGCACAGTTCTGTTCGGGGCTTGCCTAAAAGTACAGCTTACTAGGTTTTACCTGCTAGGAAGAGTGTTTAGGTTTTCAGTGTAATCTAATCATTTTCCTTTACATACAACCTCTTCCAGAGACTGATTTTGACTGAAACATATTCCTCAATTGCCTAATTTGACAGGAGAGTCCTAAGGAAACCTCTATCATCCCACTTTTTCTGCCATTTTCAAAATGTTCCAGTTTCTCCCTCCTCCTTCCACTTTCTTCCTTTGTCCTTGATTTGTACCAGTTGGTGCAAATTGTATTCAAAGGAGTTCCCACTCAGTGTACCTTCATGGGGAGGGGAAAAATAGGATTGGGTGCAATGTTGGATTCTAGGGAGAAATTAGGCTTGAGTTACTATTGGACCTATTTATTTGGCTTTTTAGCAGTCCATGGTCTTCATAGAACTTTCTCCACCACCGCGTTTCAAATGAGTCGACTTTTCCCGAAGAGCTTTCTTCACTATCCATTTCTTACAACCACACAAAGAAATAGGGAAAACAATAGCATGGGCAATTCTAACTTCAGTATTCAATGATGTATCACTACATTTCTTGCCTAGTTCCTTCATAGCTGCTCTTCTGAGGGCCCTTCCACACAGCCATATGACCCAGAATATCAAGGCAAAAAATCCCACAATATCGAGTCCACACTGCCATATATTCCAGTTCAAAGCAGATAGTGTGGGATTTTATTCAGCTATGTGGAAGGGGCCCAAGAAAGTCTAAACCAGTGGTTCTCAGCCTTTGGTCCTCCAGATGTTTTGCACTTCAGCTTCCTCAATTCTTAACAGCTGGTAAACTGGCTGGGATTTCTGGGAGTTGGAGTCCAAAACACCTGGAGGACCAAAGGCTGAAAACCACTGATCTAAACAAATACTATTGTCTCCTTCATGTCTCATCCTGAAGAACCTGAAAGAAGAGAAGTGAGTCCCCTACTGTACCTTTGCTCCCCACGATTCCTTTCACCCACTCGGTTGCTGCCTTCACACACTCTGTGCTGGTGACATCCAAGATGGTGGTTTTCAGCCGGTCGGATGTCAGCCTCTCCAGTTCTTCTGCTCCTTCCTTGGTGAGGCAAGCTGCCAAGACCTGCAGGCCCTGGATATCCAATTGCTTGGCCACCTGGTTCCCAAAGCCTGAGTCACAACCAGTGATGAAGACATATTTCTCCCCGAGGTTCTCCACAGTCTGTCTCTCCCGGTAGAACCGTATTACAAAATACAGGAAGACTGCCAGTGCCAAATAGATCCACATTTTTGCTGTGAATTAAAACAAAATAAAGCAAAATGCCAGGTGTTTGTATTTCCACACACACATGTTCCAGGCTAAATATCCTCCAAGTATTCTTATTTTAACATTGCCAGGCAGCTCTGAGTATAGTTTGCTCTATCTAAAGGGTTAAGGAGCAATGAAAAGTAATGGTGAAATAAACCCAACTTATCATTCCACCTGCAATTCATTACCCCTTTTCCTGAGTGGATGACATTTCCTATAAAGAAGTCAATATCTGCACTTATCATATTGGTTAAAATTAACTCTGTTGCAAAATTAACAGAGTATTACTAGGAGCAGTACTATGATACATTAAAGAGAAGGTTCTCTCCTGGAGCACTCAAGGCTAGATTACGGTGACTACAGCCCTCAACCAATTCCAAAACCAGGAACCTATTTGTGCAATTATGCAAAATCCATTATTGTTATGTCCACTTCCCCAAATTGCACATCAGGCCAGTAGTTCTGCCACATTATGAAAACCCTGCTTCATTTCAGACACAGATAAGGGGGTGCTTCTAAACATCTCACATACCCTCTAACTGCCCAGATGTGCTGGGGACACCTCTGAATAGTCCTCAGCCATCCCACTTTTCCAGCTATTTTTAAAGTGTTCCACTTCTTTCTTCTCCAAGTCTTCACCATTGTCATTAGCTTTCTTCGGTTCCTAAAAATTGAGTTCAAAATGCAAACATTGTTTGCATTCAATACAGTAGGCAGGAGAGGGGGTGTTGTCTTATCCTTCCCAGTGGACTTAAGCAAAGGGAAACTGCTGTAGCCTCTCCTTACTTGTGAGCTCTTCCTAATATCACTTGCAGTAGTATGTCTGCAGTCAATAATGTGATAAAATTTGACCTGAGAAAGAATGAGGTTCCACTCTAGCTGATTTTGCATATTGTGTGATTACATGCAATATGCAAGGTAAACAGCTGCTGCCTCCAGAAACCTGCCCCACCAGATGCTCGCAGTATATCAACTGATCTAGGTTAACATGAGCCAAAGCTGTTTAATGTGGCCTTGAACCACATTAACCAAAGGCACAGATTGCTCTGAATTCTCCCCCCAAAATCTGACGGAAACCTCAACTTTGGGCCCATGTAAGCAGTTGGTCCAGTTGTGAGATGAAACCAGCCACAACTGTTTACACAGCCATCCACGTTTCCTGGACTTCGGCAGCCGAGGGACACAAGATGGCACTCACTATTCCCCCTCCTGTTCTCATTCCAGTTGCCAATTCTCTGGAGAGACACTAGCCAGAGGGACAAGCCAATCGGAGAAAGGATAGGAAACAGGAGGGGTAATTCTTTCTCTCCCTCTTCCCCCCTCCTATATCATTCTAGTGCCATGCCTGACATCACTCCAGGTGACAACTGGTATGACCCATGTTGTGCCCACTGGCCAGCCCTATGTGAAAAAAATGGGTGGCCCAGCTCTCTAATTTGTTAATGTCATTTTGAATTCTGACCCTGTTCTCTGAAGTATTAGCTATCCCTCCTAATTTGATGTCATTTGCAAACTTAATAAGTATGCTTTCTAAATCTGAATCTAAGTAATTAATAAAGATGTTGAACAGCACTGGGCCCAAGGCAGAACCCCCCAGCACTCTACTAGTTACTTCCTTCCAGGAGGAAGAAGAACCTTTGGGTTCGGCCGTTTAATCGATTACGAATCCACCGAATAGTAGCATTGTTTAGCCCATACTAGTTTGTTTGCAAGACAGTCATGGGGGCCCTTGTCAAAAGCCTTACTGAAATCAAGATATGCTACATCCACAGCATTCCCTGCATCTATTAAGTTTTTTACTCTATCGAAAAAAGGGGATAATATTAGTCTGGCATGACTTGTTTTTGAGAAATTCATGATGACTTTTAGTAATCACAGCATTCCTTTCTCAGTGATTGCAGACTGCCTCTTTAATGATCTGCTCCAGAATTGTTCCCGGTATTGATGTCAGGCTGACTGGACAGTAATTGTTTGGGTCTTCTTTTTCCCCTTCTTGAAGATAGGGACAACATTTGTCCTCCTCCAGTCTGATGGGATTTCTCCTGTTCTCCAAGAATTCTCAAAGATTATTGCAAGTGGTTCTGAAATTACTTCTGGTAGTTCCTTCAATACTCGAGTTCAGTTCATCTGGCCCTGAAGACCTGAATTTGTTTAGAGTAACCAGGTATTCCTTGACTACTTCTTTACCTATTTTGGGTTGCAAATCCCCGATTACTTCATCCGCTCCATGTTACTCAGATTAAATACTGATTTCCTTTTGGGAGAGAACTGAGTCAAAGAAGGTGTTGAGTAATTCTGCCTTTTCACTATCCCATGTCAGCATTTCACCATCCTCTCCACGCAGTGGCCCTACCCAAAAGAACCCCTAAAATGTTTTTAAAACTTACCTGGCCGCCATTGTGACCCTCCTTGCAGCCTCCTGGCATGAGGAAATGATGTGGAGAGTTCGAGGAGGACCATAACGGCAGCCAGGTAAATTTTTAAAACTTTTTAGGGGTTCTTTTGGGGGGCTAGGGGGGGGCTGCATGCCATCCCGATAGTAAACAGGATGGCATGTAGCCACCCTCCCTGGGAAAGACTGGGTTTCGGGTTGGTTGTGGGGACTTAAACCCGTACCAAAGTGGATTTTTTAAACCTGTTTTGGCACAGGTTTAAGCCTTGTGTGGAAGAGCCCTTACTTTCACCTTTCCTCTGTATCACAAACTCCAGGAGAACATGGTTACTCTCACCTAAGGATCCCACCACTTCCACTCCATTTACCAGGCCCTCATTGCTGGCTAGGATCAGATAGAGGCTAACTGATCCCTTTATTGTTTCTTCCACCTTCTGGATGATAAAACTGTTTGGACAAGTACCATTCTCCAAGCCTTAGGAAAACAATGGCAAAACTCCTCCGATTAAAATTTAACAAGAAAGTCCCATGAAAGTTCTTACCATGAGTTCGAATTAACTTCAAGTTAGATTGCATGTTTCTGTCTTGTTTTATGGCACCCTAACATTTTCCCCTTAAAGGTATTTTATATGGATTTTTAAAAATAAATGAAAAAATGGCAGAGGTGTGATTTGAACTAGCCACTTCTTGATTCACAATCCACAGCCCAATCTGGGGATAATAAGTTCATATTTAATTAAATAGGGGGGTTCCCAGAGAAGTAGGGGGTAGGAATGCAACTTCAGCCTCTCACACATCCACACACTGCACTGTATCTACCATCTTATCTAATCTATCAGATTCAAGTAGAACTAGTTTAGCAAGAGGGGATGCCACCTATTTTATTGCACCAATACCTTGGGGGGGAAGTAGTCTAGAGTTGTCGAAGGCTTTCATGGCCGGAATCACTGGATTGTTGTGAGTTTTCCGGACTGTATGGCTATGTTCCAGAAGCATTCTCTCCTGCCGTTTCACCCACATCTATGGCAGGCATCCTCAGGGGTTGTGAGGTTTGTTAGAAACAAGGCAAGTGCGGTTTATATATCTGTGGAATGTCCAGAGTGGGAGAAAGAACTATTGTGTGCTTGAGGCAATGGATCACCTTGATTAGCATTGAATAGCCTTAAAGCCTCAAGGCTTGGCTGCTTCCTGCCTGGGGGAATCCTTTGTTGGGAGGTGATTAGCTGGCCCTAATTGATTCTTGTCTGGAATTTCTCTGTTTAGAGTGTTGTTCTTTCTTTACTGTACTTTTAGAGTTTTTCAATACTGGTAGCCAGATTTTTCTCATTTTCATGGTTTCCTCCTTTCTATTTAAATTGTCCACATGCTTGTGGATTTCAATGTCGTCTCTCAAAGAAAACTCACAGCAACCTAGTCTAGAGTTGCATAGCTGATTTTAGGGGTTTTTTAATAGTTAGTACAAGGCAGGTCACATTTTAGTAAAGTCACCTTGTTAGCTGGGGATTTCTGAAAGTTCCAATCCAAAATTGTAACTTTTCCAAAATGTGAATCAGTACTGGAACATGGCAGCTAAAAATAATTATTAAAGCTCCTCCTGATCCGATGCCTCAATCCCAATCAGATTTTGGAGTTCCTCAAGTAGTGAGTATACACTTAACAAAAAACAGAAGCAGCAGCCTCCCAAATGTTTCTTTAAGTCCCCAGTAAACAGGGACAGCACTCGTTAATATTTGGATGGGAGACCACCAACAAATACTGTATGCTCTATTTCAGAGGAAAGAACTGACAAAAACACCTCTTGAGCATTCCTTGCCTAAAAAACCCTATGAAGTTCAGCAGGCAACTTGCACATACACACAGGACACATCTACACTGTAGAATTAATGGATGTGGTTTTCACACACAACACACATATGTATGAATATTCTTATACATGTTCATAACATTCCAGTTTTATAGACATGTGCAAGAATCCTAAGGCGTTCTACTTCTAGTTCTACTGAAGACCTAAGAGCCCACCCATGGAAAATGGACGAGTGTAAAAAACGAATCTTTAAAGGCTTTGCATACCTCAGAATTCACTTCCCTTGTGACTGTCCAGCTGTTTGAAGTGGGACCATCTGCAAGTTAAAAAAGGCGTATGTACTATATAAATAAATAACCTTTAAAAACCATCCCACCCTACATTTGTATAGGGACTTGGGATAGGCTGCAAGTCAACAAATACTTGGTTCTTTTGCAAGTGCAGGTGAAAGTCCAAAGCATTGGCTGTATCAGCACCCTGCCCGCCCTGGCCAAGATCCAACTCTTTCCCCTCTATTGATTTAACTCCCCTGGTGATTGTGTGCAAGGACAGTAACTGTGTTGCTTGGCAGCTCCTTGAGGCCAAGTCTCCCGATTGCTTCACACTGCCGACTGAACCAGAATTAGTCCAAAGTTTATTTTGCAAATATTCATCTCCAGTTGCAATCACGGTGCATGACTAGGGACTGTCAAAAATGCCCCAAACTCATTAGAAAGGTGAGGAAAAAATGGTCTAGCTTCCTATTTTATGATTGCCACTTTTTTTTTTTCAGAATGTTACTATCTTGTATATTCTTCCAGGGAAACAGCATGGTGGAGGTACTTGAGGACTGAACTCGCTCAGCCATGAAAACCCACTGAGTGACCTTGGGGAAGCTGGAATGTCCTTTTGGAGTTTTGTTATACAGCAGAAGGGACAAATGCTAGACACACAGAGATGCGGTCACGCAGGTAGGTGGGTCCCAAACCGTTTAGAGCTTTGTAGGTAAGAACTTGCTAGAATTTTAAAAAGCCGACTTCAGTAGTCTTAGGGAGAACGTGAGTATGATTCCATGATCAGGAATGTTCCAGGAGTTCTTATCAAAGGATAGGGGTTTGAGAAAAGTGAGATATCAGGTGACACAATTTCAAACAGTTGCAATGAGGAGGAAAAATAGGTGTCTAAAGCAGACCTGCACAATGTATTATTATTATTATTATTATTATTATTATTATTATTATTATTATTTGATACATCACACAGTCCTAGACACTTGGGAAGTGTCCAACATGTGATCAAATACAAAAGCCAGCATACTGATTTAATACAAGATTAGTACACAGCAAACAAGGTCACTATGCTGGCTGTTGTATTGGATCACATGTCAGACACTTCCTGAGTGTCTAGCACTGAGTGATGTATCGGCAAATAATGCGGGCAGATCCAAGTAGGATGGCCTTTCGCAGCTGACAGCTGGGAATTTTGTCAGGGCCAATTGTTTTGAAGTGCAGGCCAAGGTTTTTAGACACTGCACCCAGTGTGCTCATCACCATTGGGATCACCTTTACTGGCTTGTGCCAGAGCATTTGCAGTTCGATCTTTAAATCCTCATATCATGTAAGCTTTTCCAGTTGCTTCTCGTCAACTCTGCTATCGCCTGGGATTGCAACATCGATGATCCATACTGCTGCTTAACTGAGGCGTGTGATCAAATACTGGCCTTATAATCCAGTTTCAGAATGTGGATTATCTGCATTGAACAGTATTAGATCAATCTACACTGCCCTATAATCCAGATCTATGCACTTAATCCACATTCTAAAACTGAATTAGTGGCCAGTGTAGGCCTGACCTATATTGTATTTCGGAGGAAGCTGTAAAGTGCTTCTAAAACCGACCACTAGAGGGCCTCCAAAGCCACGTGGGAACCCTTAAGTCTCGCGGGGACTACAATACCCACAATGCTTTGGGGATTGCGTCAGGGAAGGCGGGGGCGCTTCTGATTGGCTCTCCGAGGTGTAGGGGGCGGGGCCCTGCATTTTCCCGCGCGATTCCCTCCTTCCTTGCGAGGGACCATGGCAGAGTTTGACTCGGGCGCTTTGCCGGACTTGCTGCCCCTTTATTACCGCCGCCTCTTCCCCTTCGGCCCTTATGGACGGTGGCTGCGCTACGGCGACGGTGAGGCCTTTGGTCCGAGGAAAGGGAGGAGACTGCAGCCTTCCAATCGGCTATGTCCAAGGATGCATCTACACCAGGCGTGGGAAAACTTGGGCCCTCCAGGTGTTTTGGACTCCAACTCCCACCATTCCTAACAGCCTCAGGCCCCTTCCTTTTCCCTCTCAGCCGCTTAAGCGGCTGAGGGGGAAAAGGAAAGGGCCTGAGGCTGTTAGGAATGGTGGGAGTTGGAGTCCAAAACACCTGGAGGACCAAAGGCTTTGCAGCCAAAAAGCCTCCACAGAAATGGCACCACAAGGCAAACATTGATGACATCTGGCAATGTAGAAGTTACTGGGGAGGGAGATACAAACTTAGCTTTTGGTCCTTTAATCTAGAACAGGGAAATTCCAGCTGTTCCGATAACTCAAAGAATCCTAGAGTTGGAAAAGACACCAAGGGACATCCAGTCCAATCCCATTCTATCATTCAGAAACACAATCAAACCCCTCCCGACAGATCAGCCTCTGCTTAAAAACCTCCAGAGAAAGAGGCTCCACCAATCTCTAGTAGCATATTTCACTGTTGAACAGCTCTTACTGTCAGGAAATTTAGGGGTGGGGTTGTCTATTTGAATGTATTGCTCTGCATTACGTTCTCTGGGGCAACTGTCACAGAATCCTGGGATTTGTAGTTTGGTGAGGCACCATCACTCTAGTAGAGAAGGCTAAAGACCTCATAAAACTATAACTCTTGGAGTTCCATTGTATTAAGCCATGGAGCCCCCGTTAGCGCAGCGGGTTAAACCTCTTGAACTGCTGAACTTGCTGACCAAAAGGTTGGTGGTTCAAATGCGGAGACCAAGGTGAGCTTCCGCTATTAGCCCCAGCTTCTGACAACATAGTTTGGAAACATGCATATGTGAGTAGATCAATAGGCAAGGGTGCGCCATGCAGTCATGCTGGCCACATGACCTTGGAGTTTTCTACAGACAACTCCGGCTCTTTGGTTTTGAAACAGAGTTGAGCACCACCACCCCACCCCCAGAGTCGGACACGAGAAGACTTAATGTCAAGGGGAAACCTTTACGTTTAAAGTGGTGTCAAGTTGCATCAACTGGGTGAACCCTAGGAGAAGAGATGCCAAATGTGACTGGTCTCCTGGCAGAGCTGGTGGAAAAGGCTTGGTTTCTTTACCTGCCACCTGAGCCCTGCCACGTGCACAATGGAGGACCTTCTTGCAGCAACACTAGAAGCACTCCAAGTGGCCAGATACTGGTCAAAGGACATTTAATCAACTACCAAGCTTGCAAATTTTGTATTTTGTCTGTTTTTGGTTTTGGTTTTTTTGTTTTTTGCTTTGTTCTGTTAGAAATGTAATATAATTGACTGGTTGCCCTGACACGATAGATAGATAAATAAATAAATAACCTGCCACCCTCTGCAGATTACATGCATTAATTGTTATCACACAGCTGAACTAGAAAATATAGCACTTTCAGCATGCTCAATGAACTTTATATATTGTATTCTTACAGCAGTTTGTGAGAGTATTTCTCTTCTCAGCATGTTGCCAAAGGCTATCATAGAAGTTTATGGAAGAACTGATGTTCAAAGGAAGAACTTCTTCACTGTTTTTATATATAACTAAGTCTTCTTCTTTCTTTTAGTGACGAAAAATTACTTTCAGCGGCGAGAGTTTTCATTCACGCTTCGCGATGATATCTATGTACGGTACCAGTCTTTCAACACACCCCAAGAACTGGAGAAAGAGATACAGAAAACGTGTCCATACAAAATTGACATTGGAGCCGTGTATTCACACAAGGTACTGAAAACTGGTATAGTAATAGAAACAGTGGTTGTCTAGAAAGAATCTCTGAAAAGGATTTTAACCTATCCCTTTTCTTTGCAGTAGATGAATGCTGTCAGGAACTATTTCTATATACCAGATTTCAGCATTTTCTTGTAAAATACCATTAGAGTGTGAATTGTACTCAAACTTTTGCCATTGCCTGAGTATTTTATGGTTCAAGTATGTGCATTTTTCTAACGCATCTTGTCTTCTAAAGCTCAAATGGCTTTTTCCTCAACAGACACAGACAATTCCCAGCTTGCTTCTACTTAACTTTTATGTAAGTTTCCTTTTCTATAGTTTTAATCTATTCATGTGGCAAAATAGCATCGCCTTCCCACATAAAGGCAGCCTGAGCCACCTTGTGAACCCCAATATTCACAAACTATTATGCTGACTGGCAATGGCATAGCAGAGAAAACTGTTTGAGAAGGGATTCAATGGAGTATCATGGCAAATGGAAGAACTGACGCAATCACTTTGCCTTGTAATGTTTTGTTGCAAGGGCCACAGATACCATAATGATGCCTGATACTACCATCAGTGATACGTTGTGCAATGGTCTATTGTCTCACTAACTACCCAAAGCCAAACGTGACAGAGGGTTGGATGTGTATTTGGGGATGAGTGGGACACTTGGAACTACATCTATGAAACCTGGGAAAACACAGCTGCTTGCTTAATGATGTGTATAGTAACATACCATTCACAGATTGTCTCCCCCTTGATATTCTTGCTAAGATGCTAGAGTTGGGTGATTGGTTTGAACAAACAGAACAAGCCATTTGGACTGTTTGTTGTTTTCATGCAGACGCACAAGAATATAGCAGAGAAAGCAGACACTTTGGAATGCCATTAATGAGTTTCATAAAGAGGTTTGAATTCCATATCATCCTTATCCAGGGTGGGCCTCTTTCTGTAGTTAGGAGCCTTTTTTCACAACTTGGACTCACTACCTTTAGTCACCAGCAGTCTGCTAATTTTAGTTATGTAGAACGTTATGGTGATTCAGTGGGTTAAACCACTGAGCTGCTGAACTTGCTGACCGAAAGGCCAGCGGTTAGAATCCGGGGAGCGGATGAGCTCCCTCTATTAGTCCTAGCTTCTGCCAATCTAGCAGTTTGAAAACATGCAAATGTGAATAGATCAATAGAGAACGTTAGAAGGCTCCATGCAGTCATGCTGGCCAAATGACTTTGGGGGTGTTTACAGACAACGGTGGCTCTTTGGCTTAGAAATAGAAATGAGGACCACTCCCAAGAGTCGGACTCAACTAGACTTAATGTCAAGGGGAAACCTTTACCTTTTAAAAAGGAAAAAAGATCTACAGGTCCAACTGTATCCTCGTTTAAGAACAACATTTTCTTTGTTTTAAAACAGAATTATATTTTTGGTTAAATGTGTTAGCACAGCAGCAAATTCAGGCATAGACTTGCACTCTGTGGACTGTCTGTTGCCTCTTCCTGTTTTGCAACTTCACAACATTGTGATAGCTTACTCCTGTTTTACAAACAGAGGCTGAATGGCCACCTCTCAGGGGTACTTTGATTGTGCTTTTCCTGCATGGCAGGGGGTTGGACTAGATGGCCCATGTGGTCTCTTTCAACTCTATGATTCTATGATCCTACATGTAAGTGCTACCCATTAAGCCAGTGGTAAAAAAAACCCTTTATCACTACTAATCTGCCCTGTTTTTTTCAGACTAAAATTACAGATTTCTCAAGTCTGCCCTCCAGGATTCATTATCAGCTGGCTTAAAATTACTTTTGACAGTATAAGTATTATGCAATAGTAGGATACCTAGAAAAGCCCTAACTAGTTGACTATAACAAAGCAATAGAGTTACAATCTAAATTGTTGCAAGCAAATAATTATTCCTGAGTATGATCTGTTCCCTTTTGCTCCTTTTTCAGCCCATCCAGCACAACACAGTTCACCTAGGCGCTTTCCAGGCCCAAGAGAAAGAGCTGGTGTTTGACATAGACATGACAGATTATGATGATGTTAGAAGATGCTGCAGGTATTTTAATTTCCCCTCTGGGAAAGTGGTTTGCATTAAGATGTGTAGATTATTCATTCTCTGCTCAGCCTGCTGTCCACAGTCTTGCTGTGGCCTTTTTTTTCCAAATTTCACAACTTTTTATACGTTTTGTAGTGGTTGCAATAAGTATGGCCTAGAAATATGCTTTTCCATTTTAGCTTATTCTTTATTTCTGTTTTGAACTCTTGTGTGAGCAGTTACATCAACTACAACCTTCTCAGGCAAGGAATCAGTCTGGACAACAGCTAGATGGCAGATGGTATCAATCATGGAGCAGACATGAACAGAAATAAGCAAAACTATTTAGTTGTACTTATTGAGTAGAAAGGTTGGAAAAGCAAACTTATTATGTCTCTCCCAACTTATTCACATTAAGCTGTGTTGGCTATGCAGGAAAATACAACAGAATCCACAAAACAACGATTCCTTTGTTGGCCAGCAAAAATTCACAAAATACATCATATAAGCTGCCTTGAGTCCCCAATGGGTGAAAGTGGGGTATAAATAAAGATGATGATGATGATAATAATAATAACAACAACGACCATAATTTTGAGGCTTCACTGGTTTCTTCATCAGGTAAAGATGTTAAAAAGCATTCAGAAGAAGAAAGGCAACAATGTTAGAGTCACGGGCCTGTATTATGTTTCAAGTATTAGTTCTCTTCTCAGTTAAGATGCTCTGGAGCAGTGGTTCTCAACCTGTGGGTCCCCAGGTGTTTTGGCCTTCAACTCCCAGAAATCCTAACAGCTGGTAAACTGACTGGGATTTCTGGGAGTTGTAGGCCGAAACACCTGGAGACACACAGGTTGAGAACCACTACCTTATAGGCTGAACTGGCACCGACACTGGTGCCATTTTGGCATCAAGTAAAAGCAGTCTCATTGCTTTCATCTAAATATGCTATATGAATAGTTTTAAATTTACTTAAACTGCTTCAGTTGGTTTTTAAGTCTCCTGTTTTAAGTATGAAATGGTCTAATACGCCTTTAGGCCTTTCAAGATATTTTTATTACCTTACATTTTTAAACTGTTTAAAAAGATATTATTGAGGTCTGTGGATGTCTGTGTATTGTACCTTCAAATTGCCTAGCTATTCATGGGGCCCTCATAAATTTAAGTGGGTTTTCCTAAACAAGGAAAACTGGCTTCTTCACCAGGTAGAGATGTTTAAAGACTCCTCAAATATTGTTGTTCATTCGTTCAGTCGTCTCCGACTCTTCGTGACCTCATGGACCAGCCCACGCCAGAGCTCCCTGTCGGCCGTTACCACCCCCAGCTCCCTCAAGGTCAGTCCAGTCACTTCAAGGATGCCATCCATCCATCTTGCCCTTGGTCGGCCCCTCTTCCTTTTGCCTTCCACTTTCCCCAGCATAATTGTCTTCTCTAGGCTTTCCTGTCTCCTCATGATGTGGCCAAAGTACTTCAACTTTGTCTCTAGTATCTTTCCCTCCATCGAGCAGTCGGGCTTTATTTCCTGGAGGATGGACTGGTTGGATCTTCTCGCAGTCCAAGGCACTCTCAGCACTTTCCTCCAACACCACAGCTCAAAAGCATCGATCTTCCTTCGCTCAGCCTTCCCTAAGGTCCCGCTCTCACATCCGTAGGTTACTACAGGGAATACCATGGCTTTGACTAGGCGGATCTTTGTTGCCAGTGTGATGTCTCTACTCTTTACTATTTTATCGAGATTGGACATTGCTCTCCTCCCAAGAAGTAAGCGTCTTCTGATTTCCTGGCCACAGTCTGCATCTGCAGTAATTTTTGCACCTAGAAATACAAAGTCTGTCACGGCCTCCATTTCTCCCTCTATTTTCCAGTTGTCAATCATTCTTGTTGCCATAATCTTGGTTTTTTTGATGTTTAGCTGCAACCCGGCTTTTGCGCTTTCTTCTTTCACCTTGATTAGAAGGCTCCTCAGCTCCTCCTCGCTTTCTGCCATCAGAGTGGTGTCATCTGCATATCTGAGGTTGTTAATGTTTCTTCCAGCAATTTTTACCCCAGCTTTGCATTCATCAAGCCCGCACATCGCATGATGTGTTCTGCATACAAGTTGAAAAGGTTGGGTGAGAGTATGCAGCCTTGCCGTATGCCTTTCCCAAACCAGTCTGTTGTTCCGTGGTCAGTTCTTACTGTTGCTACTTGGTCCTTGTACAGATTCCTCAGGAGAGAGGGAAGGGGGCTTGGGTATGCCCATCCCACTAAGAACTTGCCACAATTTATTATGATCCACACAGTCAAAGGCTTTAGAATAGTCAATGAAGCAGAAGTAGATGTTTTTCTGAAACTCCCTGCCTTTCTCCATTATCCAGCGGATATTGGCAATCTGGTCTCTCGTTCCTCTGCCTTTTCTAAACCCAGCTTGAACGTCTGGCAACTCTCGCTCCATGTATTGCTGGAGTCTTCCTTGCAGGATCTTGAGCATTACCTTACTGGCATGAGAAATAAGGGCCACTGTACGGAAGTTGGAGCAGTCTTTCGCATTTCCCTTTTTTGGTATGGGGATATAAGTTGATTTTTTCCAGTCTGATGGCCATTCTTGTGTTTTCCATATTTGCTGGCATATGGCATGCATCACCTTGACAGCATCATCTTTTAAGATTTTAAATAGTTCAGCTGGGATCCCGTCGTCTCCTGCTGCCTTGTTGTTAGCAATGTTTCTTAAGGCCCATTCAACCTCACTCCTCAGGATGTCTGGTTCTAATTCATTCACCACACCGTCAACACTATCCTCAATATTATTATCCTTCCTATACAGATCTTCTGTATAGTCACGCCACCTTCTCTTGATCTCTTCAGCTTCTGTTAGGTCCCTGCCATCTTTGTTTCTTATCATACCAATTTTTGCCTGGAATTTACCTCCAATGTTTCTAATTTTCTGGAAGAGGTCTCTTGTCCTTCCTATTCTGTTGTCTTCTTCCACTTCCATGCATTGCTTATTTAAAAATAGTTCCTTATCTCTTCTGGCTAACCTCTGGAATTGCGCATTTAACTGGGCATATCTCCCCTTATCACTGTTTCCTTTTGCTTTCCTCCTTTCTTGGGCTACTTCCAGTGTCTCAGCAGACAACCATTTTGCCTTCTTGGTTTTCTTTTTCTTTGGGACGTACTTTGTTGCCGCCTCCTGAACAATGTTGCGGACTTCCGTCCATAGTTCTTCTGGGACTCTGTTTACTAAATCTAGTCCTTCAAATCTGTTATTCACTTCCACTGTATATTCGCTAGGAATGTTAGTGAGATCATATCTAACTGGTCTGTGTATTTTCCCTGATCTCTTTAATTTTATTCTAAATTGGGCAATAAGAAGTTCGTGATCTGAGCTACAGTCAGCCCCAGGTCTTGTTTTCACCGACTGGATGGATGTCCGCCACCTTTGGCTGCAAAGGATGTAGTCAATCTGATTTCGGTGCTGACCATCTGGTGAAGTCCATGTGTAAAGCCGTCTTTTAGGTTGTTGGAAGAGAGTGTTTGTTATACACAGCGAGTTTTCCTGGCAAAATTCTATCAGCCTGTGTCCCGCTTCATTTTGTTCTCCCAGACCATGCTTGCCTGTGATCCCAGTTGTCATTTGACTTCCCACCTTGGCATTCCAGTCTCCTGTAATGAAAATAATGTCTCTTTTTGGTGTATTATCCAGTAGGTCCTGCAGATCCTCATAGAACTGATCTACTTCTGCTTCTTCAGCAGCTGTGGTTGGGGCGTATATTTGGATCACTGTAATGTTGAAAGGCTTTCCTTGCACTCGAATTGAGATCATTCTGTCATTTTTTGGTTTGTATCCAAGCACCGCTTTAGCGAATTTCTTATTAATTATGAAGGCTACTCCATTTCTTCGATGTTCCTCTTGTCCGCAGTAGTAGATCTGGTGGTCATCTGATGTGAAGTGCCCATTCCAGTCCACTTCAGTTCGCTGACCCCCAGAATGTTTATCTTTAGTCTTGACATCTTCGCCAATAACAACATCCAATTTGCCCTGGCTCATAGATCTTACATTCCAGGTTCCTATGGTGTGTTGATCTTTAGAGCATCGGATTCGTCGTTCACCTCCAGTACCGTCGGCCGCTAGCCTTCCTTTCGGCTTTGAGCTAGCTGCGTCATCACATCTGGGGCTAGTTGAACTTATCCTCTGCTCCTCCCCAGTAGCATTTTGGCCATCTTCCGACCTGGGAGTCCCATCTTCCAATGGCATACCGACATATCTCTGGTTGTACTTGTCCATTTAGTTTTCTTGGCAAGGATACTGGAGTGGTTTGCCATTGCCTTCCCCAGGGATCACGCTTGGTCTGACCTCTCTGCCACAACCGTCCCGTCTTGGGTGGCCCTTCACGGTTTCGCTCATGACATCATTGAGGTGCTCAAGCTCCAGTGCCCCGACAAGGCGGTGATCCTTTGCTGGAGCCTCAAATATTAGCTGAATTATAAATAAATAAGGAGTCATAGTGCAGTCCTGGGTATATTTCCTTGCAAGTAAATCCTACTGTGTTGTTGGGATCTTACTGCCTAGTTCCGTGATGTTGAACCTATGACATGCGTGTCAGCACTGACACGCATGGCTATTTTTGATGACACGCAAACACATGCAGCCACATACAGAGAAATACACCTTATAAGAACCAATCTAATTCCATCCTTAAATTTGTAAAAGCCTCTACAAATTTAACATCTGCACGTTTGAGCATTGTTCACTCCATAACTCAGCATGGATTATACATTTTTTTTATTTAAACTATAAATATTACAAAATTATGGGGTTTTTTTTCTCAAAGTGACACTCCACCCAAGTTATGCTCAGGTTTTTGGCAAATTTTGACACACCAAGCTCAAAAGGTTTCCCATCACTGGCCTAGTTAGTGAGAGAGTCTCATAGGGCCTATGCCTGTGCATAGGATTGCATCCTGTTGAACATTGGGCAAGAGCAAAAATTAATCATCCCAAGTGTTCCTATCTCTGATTGTGTCCAGGAAATATTGCAGAACAGTAAGAACTATTCCTTATGTTAGATCTGAACATGAACTTTTTGTTCTTGGCTGACATTTATATATATTTTTGAAACCTCAAGGCCACAGCTCTGCTGTTTGCCATCAAAGGCATTTTATTAATAATTGAAGTATTTGTTTTTAATTCCAGAAGATCATAATAGTAGGACAAATAATGATTGGTGGACCCAGTCCTTTATTTAATCCTTGCTAAGAGCAACACATTACAGTAGCCATATGCCATACAAGTATTTATTTGGAAATATGTTTGTCTCTGTTCAGTGTGACTTTTCCTCCCAACGAAGTGTGGTTGAGATTGCAGTCGGAACTGTTCAGTGCTCTACTACTTTGTTTCCACCCCAATCCAAGAAAGCTGCCTTGGTTTTAGACATGCGTTTGTCACCCTGCTCAGTTAAAAGGTAGATCACAGGACTGGGATCCAGCCTGTGTTAGATGGGGTTAGACTCCCCCTGAAGACACAGGTCTGCAGTTTGGGGGTCCTCCTGGACTCAGCGTTGAACTTGGAGGCCCAGATTTCTATGGTCCCTACGAGGGTTTCTGCACATTGAAAATGTGTGTACCAACTGCACCCATTCCTTGAAACTTCTAATCTGACCATACACATCTGTGTATTGTGTTGTATGTGTTTTAATGGTGTTTTGGCTCTTGTTTTAATGATGCTGTACCCCACCTTGAGCTGCAGGGAGAGGCGGGTAATACAATTGTTGTTGTGGAACATGCCTTAGTTACATTCTGTTTGGATTACTATAACATGCTCCAAATGGGGCCGCCTTTGAAGAGTGTCCAGAAAGTCCAGTTTGTTCAGAGAGCTGTAGCTAGGCAGCTCAGTGAAACAGGTTACTGGAACCATACTACTCCCCTGTTAAAACAGCTCTAATGCCTCCTGGTTAATTTCCAGGCACAATTCAAAGTACTGGTTATAACACAGAAAGCCCTATACGGCCCAGGTCCTCACTGTTTAGCAGATCATATACTCTTGTATGAGCTATCCTGGTCTCTATGGCCCCTTCCACACAGCTGAATAAAATCCCACATTATCTTCTTTGAACTGGAATATATGGCAGTGTGGATTCAGATAAACCAGTTCAAAGCACATATTATGGGATTTTCTGCCATGATATTCTGGGTTATGTGGCTGGGTGGAAGGGCCCTAAGATCATCAGGAGAAACAAATTTCCCTCTCTTAGTCCCATAGTTGGTGGGAATACAAGATAAGACCTCAATGGCTGCCTCTAAACTCTGGAACTACCTTATGGCCATCCTTCCACCAGTAGACTGAATTTCTTTTCATTCAGACAGGCTTTTAAATCAGATAATGGGTTAGGAGGTCCTGTATTATTTTGAACAGTCATGTTTAATAGCGTTTTGATCTTTTTGATTGCATTTTCTTTTCAAGGCAGTGCTTTATTATTGTGCCTAGTTTAATTCTATTTTAATAATCATTTTATATGTTTCTAATTGTATTGCTCTTTTAATCCACCTTGAGTTCCAATTATGAGAGAAAAATGGGATCCAAATAAAGATCATCTTATTCATTTACATACTACCTTCCTCCAGTAATGGGACTCAATGTGGCTTACAACATACAGTATACCAGTGGTTCACAACCTGTGGGTCCCCAAATGTTTTGGCCTTCAACTTCCAGAAATCCTAACAGCTGGTAAACTGGCCGGGATTTCTTGGAATTGTAGGGTAAAACACCTGGGGACTCACAGGTTGTGAACCATTGCAGTATGCTAAAAAATAAATGTAACTGCATTCAGAGCTAAATCCTGTGGAATTTAATGAGACTCAGTCTTGGAGATGTGGATATAGATATTTCATGAAAATATTCTGGACCTTCAGCCGAACAATTAAATGGGATGAATATCTGATTTGGTTTTTTGGTTTTTTTTTAATGTGTGGGAAGAGTTTGCTTTTGTTTTTAAGTACTGTACTGTTTGGTTGCAATTTTTACAAGAGGAATAGGATCTTCAAAGAAACATACTTAAGTTTGTGGTGGTGTTCCTCTGTCCTTAGCTCTGCAGAGATCTGCTCCAAATGCTGGACTCTCATGACTATAGCCATCCGCATCATAGATCGATCGCTTGTAGGTAAGTGGCTTGCAGTCCTGCATTCACCATAGCTAGGCAGCATTTTGTGATCTCTCCTTGCAGAGAGTAACTAAAAACAGAACTTAAATGTCTTTTAGAAGTATGTATGTTATTTTCATTATTGCAGGTAAAGTATCCCTTATCTGGAATGCTTTGGATTTCAAGAGTCTTTTTGAAATATCTGAGAAATGGCAGGAGTCCAAACATAATGCTCAGTGTGAATCCATGCCTTCCACCATTACATAGATCCTCACTTCTCTCTCCATCCTCGCATTTCGTTCATTCACTACTTGTGTTTCTATGAAACACATAACTGAAGGAGACTGGGGATCTGAGAAACTTAGAATATAGTGGCTCTGATACTGCGTTTTTTAAAAAGTACATACTGTACCGGTAGCCTACCAGCCACCTGCTTCCATCTTGCAAGGAAATGCCACAGCCACTGTCTGGCAATAAAATTTCCATTTTTGGGGTATTTTAGATTTCTGGATTAGAGATGCTCAACTTGTACTACATCTCTCCACAACTATTTGGTATTATTGCCAAGATGCAGGTCTTAAGAACCTTCCCCTTTGGTGTCACAGTTTTTACACATGCATCACTTCAGGACACATTCAGTTTTACTAGCGAATTGAAGGTTAAACCAACCTCTTATAAAAGATATAAACACAGGCATAAACTGTAATAATGAAATGTTTGGGGAACATGGTGTATGTCACAAAAATCTTATTTGTATATTTTAATACATGTAAGATAATAGCCTACATTTCTAAGATTTTGCCATTTCTCTTTACATTTTTGCAACACACCTATACACTTCAGTCAACACACTAATGTGTCATGACACACAGTTTGGAAAACTCTGTTCTAAAAGAAGACAGAAATAGTACACACCCGCACGCATAGATGACCTAAATTAAGTTGTTTGTCCCAGCCAGAATAAACTTTGATTCAAAGAAATTCGCATAAATTTTGACTCATCAAAATTCTGTTGATTCAATAAGTTTATTTTAATAAAAACCTCACAGTTAGATTTTAAACATGCAAATTGTTCCCTACGTTTTAGTTAAAACTGGATTATGGGTCTGAAAATATAGGAGACTAATAAAACTTTGGTACATCTTGCAGCCTCACCACAGTCTAAGGCTGGAATGGTTTTCTTTGAAAATGTGTAATCCATCACTAAGCAACAAACAAGAATCTGTCTCCTCACATTTCCACAACCTCTTCTGTATGACTCTCAAGTTGTGGACTCTCCCTGCCTTAATGTTCATTTTTTTATATTTTCAGTCAATGAACAGCATCAAAAAATGTACAAACATCAGGATAGGCAAACATACATTTGGGTATTAAGATACAATGTCAAAAGCCTTAATTTGCTGCTCTTTTGACACCGTTACAGCTGTCACTGCCAGCTATCATCGTAGATTTGCGAAAGGCTGCCTTCCCTCCTCTGACAATGTTTCCTTTTAGTGATCACTGACTACTGGTTAATATTGCTTTAGTATTTTCAGTATTGATGTTCAAATCCTTTGTTCCTATAACGTTATTATTTTCTTGTAGTGGGTCTAAAAACGACTCGTTCTCAGCAGAGCCATAACCAAGTTATTGTTTGTTTTCTTCCTTCCTTTCTTTCTTACTTACTTACTTTCTTTCCTGCTCTCTCTCACTTTGTAACATGGGATAAAATGCCTGACCTACCTTACAGGAGTGTTGTAATATTGTGGTTTCTCATAACAGTATAGGTGTAATCAATTCATTATGATAACCTACTAATCCCAATTCATTTCAGTGGGTCTTACCTAGGCAGGCATCACATTGAAATTTGCCTATTTTCTTGCAGTCAGAATTGTATGGTAACACTATGCTTTCTGGTACTTTTTTGCACCTCCAGAGGATTTTGGCATCAAGCACCGCCTCTGGGTATATTCAGGACGGAGAGGAGTGCACTGCTGGGTGTGTGATGATTCAGTCCGGAAGTGGTCTTCAACACTCCGCTCCGCAGCCGTGGAATATCTCACCATAGTGAAGGTGTGGCATGTTGAGACTGAAATTGTATAATGGCGGGGAGTGGACTATGAATACTCTCTCTCTCTCTCTCTCTCCCTCCCTCCCTCCCTCCCTCCCTCTCTCCCTCTCCCTCTCTCTCTCTGGATATCATGGGAAAGGGTTAACACCCCTTTGGTGTTTGTTTTGCTGTCTGCTCCTGTTCAGAAGATTTCACCTCACTGTGATGACTGGACTTTGAAAAATTTGGCTTGTTATGGAAACAAGAATTGGTTATAAAGCTTCAGTGGAGACACCTTTCCCCCATGATAATTCTTTCAGGATTGAATTTTCCTTCGCAGAGTTAGATTTCTCTCACTTCCTGTTGTCTCACCCCCATTCTTAACGATGAGTCGCTTGTATGTCAAATGTTTGTAACTCGGGGACTTCCTGTATATGAAATAGCCTCATTTCACAGCAGATCATTAGAACTTCCTCAAAGTGGGCTGACAGTGTTAAAATTTTGCCAAGAGGGGCTACAAGGGTTGGACACATGTATGCAAAGTTGTGTCTTTAATCCGTTTGTGGAGTTTTATTCCAGAAGGTACCGAATTCCCCACAAAAAAAGAAAAAGAAAAATAACTTATCAATGTCAGCACATTTTTGGCTAGGAGTAGAATATTATTCACAGATCAAAACTATCAAAATATATCAAATCACTTTGGTACAAGGGCTTTGAAAATTGCATTTCACAACAAAAGAATTCTTAACCCTGGCATGTTTTATTTGATTCCTGTGAAATGTGTTCAGATGGATGTGGTACCTTATGGAAATGAGATCTGCATTTGGTTGTCATCTGCACATATTTTACAGCTCTTTGAGACAGGGAAGAATGCAATTGTGATTTTGGAAATGCACTTTCTGATGTTTTATAAATCAGTCGGTAAAATTGTAGGCCTCCCTATCAATCTTGCTAGTCATGTGCTTATAAACAATCAGTGAAATCTCCCTTCATAAAAACAGTTACTTCTTAAGCTGATATATAACCAAATGAGGCGTGAAGATTATTTATATGCCCAGGCATTCAGTGGCATTTGGTTAGCTTCTGATCCCATATTTAATTCTGGGAGTCCAAAATATTAACTGTTCCAAGGTCTATGCTCTATGCTCTATTCCGCTTTGATTAGACCACACCTGGAATTTTGTGTCCAATTCTGGGCACCATAATTCAAGAGAGATATTGATAAAATGGAATGTGTCCCTGAGGAGGGCGACTAAAATGATCGAGGGTCTGGAGAACAAGCCCTATGAGGAGCGGCTTAAGGAGCTGGGCATGTTTAGCCTGAAGAAGAGAAGGCTGAGAGGAGATATGATGAGGGCCATGTATAAATATGTGAGAGGAAGCCACAGGGAGGAGGAGGGAGCAAGCTTGTTTTCTGCTGCCCTGGAGACTAGGACGCAAGGGAACAATGGCTTCAAACTACAAGAGAGGAGATTCCATCTGAACATGAGGAAGAACTTCCTGACTGTGAGAGCCGTTCAGCAGTGGAACTCTCTGCCCCGGAGTGTGGTGGAGGCTCCTTCTTTGGAAGCTTTTAAACAGAGGCTGGGTTGCCATCTGTCAGGGGTGATTTGAATGCAATATTCCTGCTTCTTGGCAGAATGGGGTTGGACTGGATGGCCCATGAGGTCTCTTCCAACTCTAGGATTCTATGATTCTAAGTGCCGATGACAGCAGCAGAATTCCTGACTGTAGATGAGTACAGGGAAAGTTGAGCTGCAGGTGTATCAGAAGACTCTGTATGGCTTCCCAGTTCTCAACATGTACATCTTTCAATAAAATGATCCACAACTAAGTATTTAAAAATCCAGGGATGTGCCTATTTGGGATATTCAGAGATAGATTAGAACAACCAGAAAGAAATTTGTCTGTACAGCTTTATGGCTGCACACATTACAACTGCCAAAGATTGGAAAGAGGAGAAAATATTAAACATTTAAAATTGGAAGTATAAACTGTGGGACTATGCACAGATGACTAAGATGTCTAGCTATTTGAAATATGAAAATCATGAAACATTTGAAAGAAACTGGAAGCTAGCCTTAGCATACTTGACAGGAGATTTTAAGAAATAAAAACAAGAGGAATTTATTGAGGTAGATGTATAGAGGGTTAAACAAAATGTGCATAAACTGCAGGGATCAGTGATGGAAGCCAAGATGGTGGGTAGCACTGGGGGTGGGTTGAGAGGTAATTGTACTGGGGGTGGCGGATTGTCTATGTATGTGTATTTGTATATGTCTGCAATATATATGGTTGGTGTATTACCTTTTTAAAATTAAATATTTATTTATTTATTTTAAAAAAACATGTATATCCTTAATGTTTTACAGGGTGGCGAAGAGACCATCAAGAAGGTGGTTCTACTGGAAAATATTCACCCTTTCATCAGGTCAGTTGGTGTGACAAGCCAGTGACTTTGTAAGAGCTGCAAGTACAGCCCAGGCTGTGGGATTCTGAATCCTTCCACCTCCCACACCAGTGGTCAGTGCTAATTTCAAAAACTTTAGGACTGAAGAGTTCTTTAGGTAGTGCTGAGAATTTCTACAGCATGACTATCAGGTGTGTACACACTGCATTGTGGGTATCCAATGGAGAAATAGAAATACAGGTGCAGCTGCCAAGGAGGCAAAGGGTGTCAGCCTTTTCTCTTCTGAGAAGAGCACAGACTGAACCCATTCTGTGTTAAAAACTTTTTATTCCAAAGTCACCCCTCAAAATGGAAGCAGTAGTCCTCTAGGTAATGACTAGAGGACTGACATTTGTGTTAGACTGACATATTTGTGCTAGAAGAGCATTTTCTTCTCCTGCTAAGATGGGGTAACAAGTTAAATAGCCCATCTGCTTAGATTTATAATTCAGGGAGGAGGGAGCAAGCTTGTTTTCTGCTGCCCTGGAGACTAGCACGCAGAACAATGGCTTCAAACTACAGGAAAGGAGATTCCATCTGAACATTAGGAAGACCTTCCTGACTGTGAGAGCTGTTCAGCAGTGGAACTCTCTGCCCCGGAATGTAGTGGAGACTCCTTCTTTGAAGGCTTTTAAGCAGAGGCCGGATGGCCATCTGTTGGGGGTGCTTTATATGCAATTTTCCTGCTTGGCAGGGGGTTGGACTGAATGGCCCACAAGGTATCTTCTATGATTCTTAGGCTTTACTTAGAGTTGTGCATTTTTTCAGGCAAGTGCACACTGAATTGAGTAGTCTGCTTAGAGCAGAAATACGTTCTTTCCTTCTACATGCTGTTGTGGCTAAATGTGAATGTAGCATTAACTCTGAATCCTTTTGCCACATAACTTTGCACATTTCTAATTTCCCCCATTTGGCAAACTAAATGCTACTGAGGGATTTTCCACATAAGTCCCGATCCTCACCTCTGTATTCCAAGCTATGGGCTTTATCATTCATTCCGTTTTCCGTGTTAGGAAATCAATAGACGTGATAAAGGAATATTTTGAAGAATACGCCCTTGTTGGTCAAGACATACTTGGAAGTAAAGAGAGCTATGAAAAAGTGTTGGCTTTGGTCCCGGAATATATCCTTTTGAGAACTTTATTAAATCTCAGGGGCACAGAATGGACTGGAAAAGGGAAGACACTTTTACATACCTGAGTAGTAAGATGCCATGTTGCCCTTGATGCCAATTGCTGGCACCTTGCTGGTATGGGTTGGATAACAGTTTTTTCTGTCTGAAGCCAGGCATTGGGAATATACAGTGGTTGGGAACCTACCTAGGGAGAGGTAGGAATGGCTGACCAAAGGAGAGGCAGAAAGAAGTAGAGAAAACCAAGTGGTTCTAACTCCAGGCACTACTTGGTACTTCCAGACAAAAGGGGCTCAGGGAAGGTTATGAGGAAGTTGCTGAGCAAGTTAGAAGGGGAGCCAGACACATGGGGCTGAAGGAGGAGGAAGAGAATGAAACAGACGAGGAGGACAGAGAAGCAGGAGAGTAAAGGAGATGGACAGTCTAGGTCCCCTAGCAATGCAGGGAACACGGATGTGTCAAGCACGCACACCCTGCACATGGGTTGGAGGAAACACTGGCCAGAAGCATTGTTGAGGAGCAACCTTGCCAAATCCTGGGATCCCAGCAAGAAAGCAGTAAAGGTTCCTGGGGAAAAGATGGTTGCCTGAACCCATTTACAAGTGCACGCACTTTGGCCGAACAATGGACAGCACTTGTTGTTTTGAATGACACCGCTGCCACTGTACAAATAGGTAGAAGGAAGATCAGTGAGAGAACCTTAGGCTTGTCTACTACTAGGCCAGTGTTCTTGCTGGAAATGTCTTGCCATATAGGGAATAGCAAATAATTTAACATACAGGCATCTACAGTCTGAAACAATACATTTCATGCTCCCACTACATTCCTGTGTAGCCACTACAAAGTTCTGGTAAGTAAAGAAATACAAAGCCTGATGCTGTGCTGGCTGTTTGAGTGATGGGGACTACAAGTAACTCTCACTAAAATTAGCATGAAGATCAGGATGCAACCTTTTTCGTGGCTGATCTCTGTCTTCCCTATCAGTATAAACTCCAGAGACTTAGTGCTGGTGTAAAGGGAATTGCGAGCATGCTCAGATAGGAAGTTAATAAGTCAAATCCATAAGGTGCAAAACTTCGAAACAAAGGGAAACCATGTCTCCTGCAATGTCTATATGTGTGTGTGTGTGAGAGAGAGAGAGAGAGAAGGATTGATGAATGAATGAATGTTGGTGGTTTAATGTTTTTTTATTTAATTAATTTTAATTTTGGGATTACTTGCATGCTTTTACCTTATGCTTCCTTTGAATTTTTAACTATGTTTTAACAAAAGCCATCTTGAATCTCGTACTGGGGAAAAATATTATAGAAATAGTTTATAATCATGATTGTTGGGAAGCGGTGATTGCTATTGAGATTCTGCTTCTTGGCAAACCTTGAAATTCCTTAACAATTCACCTACCAGTCCGAGAAAATATTTCGTCAGAATTTCGGAAGAAAAACCATGATTCACTCCAGCGCTGGAGCATTTTGAAAAAACAGGTGGGAAATCCTAGTTGAGTCATTGAACTGGGAATATGGGAACCATGTGAAACGCCAGAATGCCAGACCTGGGTGGTGAAGAACAACCCAGCACAGGAGGCTGGCATAGTTTGACTTCTTAGTCAAGGGGTTGGAACTGGCAACTTGGCTATAAGCCATTGACATTTAATTAGTTCTGGCATATGAGACCACTGCCAGCCTGTTCATTTATTCGTTAGTCAAGAGAGAGCTGTTGTTGTGCCAAGGGTGCTGGTGACAGCATCATGATCTTTGCCAGGATAACCCATTGCTGGCAAAGCAACCAATCTTCTCATTCTGGCTGAATGCTTTCAAAGTTCTGTGCAAAGTGAAAATGGTTTGTTTGTTTTTTCCGTGTCAGGAGTGACTTGAGAAACTGCAAGTCGCTTCTGGTGTGAGTGAATTGGCCGTCTGCAAAGACGTTGCCCAGGAGATGCCCAGATGTTTTTGACATTTTACCTTCCTTGTGGGAGTTTTCTCTCATGTCCCCACATGGGGAGCTGGAGCTGACAGAGGGAGCTCATCCGCGCTCTTCCTGGATTCGAACCTCTGACCTGTCCTGCTGGCACAAGGATTTAACCCATTGCGCCACTGGGGGCTCAATGAAAATGGTAGCAGCTTTTCATGTTTGACAGAATCCTGAGCTCACCCCATTCAGAACCGCCTTGGCTTGGGGTCCCTTCCATTTAAAAAGGGTGGGATGGAGCAGACAACAAGTTGCCCTGGCGTACAGACAACTTCTGCACATCCCATAATTCAGAGTCTCTCAGGGCCCAAACAGAGTACAATACGTCCACACATTGTGTGAGTTACCCTTAGTGTCATATGTTTTTTGTATATAATCTGGAATCTTGTTTTTCTTGAAACAAAAATAGGACACATAGGAATTGTAGTCCAGGTCATGAAAAGGAGGCTTAGTTGGGGAAGTGGCCTTGCAATTTTAGAGTGTGTTCAGAACAGCAGCAACTTTCTAGTACATAGAGTTTTTTTTAAAGGTCCAGTGAGAAGATTTTTCCAATCTCACATCGCAGATAAAACAACGCACCGAGTGGGAAATCATGCTGCAGTACTGCTTTCCTCGGCTGGATATTAATGTCAGCAAAGGAATTAACCACTTGCTGAAGAGCCCCTTCAGTGTTCACCCCAAGACAGGTCAGTTGTGTGATGCTTTATCATATCTTCCTTCTAAAAAAGCTTTAAAAGCCAATGAGATTTTGGCCTGCACAAATAGGAGTCTAGTGTCTAGATCCAGGGAAGTCTTGCCTCCCCTCTATTCTGCTTTAGTCAGATCACACATGGAATCACGCTTTGTCCAGTTCTGGGCACCGCAGTTAAAAGGAGATGTTGACAAGCTGGAATGTGTCCAGAGGAGGGCACCCAAAATGATCAAGGGTCTGGAGAACAAGCCCTGTGAGGAGTGGCTTAAAGAGCTGGGCATGTTTAGCCCGCAGAAGAGAAGGCTGAGAGGAGACATGATGGCCATGTATAACTATATGTGAGAGGAAGTCATAGGGAGGAGGGAGCAAGCTTGTTTTCTGCTGCCCTGAAGACTAGGACACAATGGAACAATGGCTTCAAACTACAAGAAAGGAGATTCCACCTGAACATGAGGAAGAACTTCTTAACTGAGAGAGCTGTTAAGAAGTGGAACTCTCTGCCCCAGAGGGTGGTGGATGCTCCTTTGGAGGCTTTTAAGCAGATGCTGGATGGCCATCTGTCCGGGGTGCTTTGAATGTGATTTTCCTGCTTCTTGGCATGGGTTTGGATTGGCTGACCCACGAGGTCTCTTCCAACTCTAAGATTCTTAAAAATGGAAACCCAGGAGTGGTGCATTGATAAATAGAGTGATGTTTTTACATTAAGGACTTTTGTTGTCCCCTTTAACCTATGAAGTTTGATTATAAGGGGTGGGGCACTTAATCCCTTAGCTGAGCCCACCTCACAGTTGTAAGAATAAAATGATATGAAGCCACAAGTTTCTTAGAAAAAAAAAAACACTGAGTAGCCTTACTCTACATAATCTTACAGAAAAGTCTCCTTACAACCTAAAAATGAGGGAGGAAATAAGGTTCATGGGGAAAGGTGTTTTATTTAACTAATTCTAGCTCTTGTTACAAATTTCCCTAATTCGAGGAACTGAAAAGCTTCTTTAGACCTAAATGCTAGTTCCAAGTAGAGTAGACCCATTTAATCACTTGTTGAATGGTGAATACATGTACACATCCCACTGATCCAGTGGTTCTCAACCTGTGGGTCCCCAGGTGTGTGGGCCTACGACTCCCAGAAATCCCAGCCAGTTTACCAGGTTTTAGGATTTCTGGGAATTGAAAGCCAAAACATCTGGAGACCCACAGGTTGAGAGCCACTGAGCTGATCAATGGATGTGTTGTGGCTGGGAGGATAAATAGGATGCAGACCTGTTTTACTTACTCCAAGTGGCAGTGAGAATGGACAGAGCCTATGAAACTCACTTATGGCTCTGCCCCAGCACAGCTTTCCTCATACATATACCTAAATGTCGGAGTGGATGTAGGCTGCACATATCTCCCAGGAAGTTGTTTGTGGCCAATGGAGGCACGTAGATTGGTGGGGAACAAAAGTTCTGTTACATTGGAGAAGGGGGGGGGGGGGCAGGAGAATTATACCTCTGTGGGATTGCAGTTCTTCCCTGAAAATGTCTGCCCCGTGCACCACCTTTTAAAGAAAAGGCTGTAGAGCCCCCTGATAATCAAAGTGGTGAAAAAGAGGTTGCCCACAAACTCGACCCTGCTCAATATACAGAAGTTTCCTAGCCACTAGACTCCAAGAAGGATTGTGTTACACAGATTTCCCTGCCCCAAACGTCTTCCCCTCAGGTGGATATCAAGGGAAAGGGGAGCCATGTGGGAACAGTCTGACAGCACCATGAGTTATTTCTACATGCTCTGCCTTTTCCTCTATTTCAGGTCGTATTTCAGTACCAATTGACCTTAAGAAAGTGGATGGGTTTGATCCATTTGCTGTTCCCACTATCAGGTATAGCTCAACTGATTTGATGCAGTGTCGCTGAATTGTGTTGAGCCAGGTTTTGTGGTATTCCCTGTGTCTTTCTTGTTCGTTTTCAGTCAACTCTGCCATGAGCTGGACACAATTAAGAAGGACGACGTAGATGGAAAAGAAAACGGAGGAGACGCAGAAGGCTCCCGGAAGAGCAGGGGTGAGTGGGGCAAAGAAAGGCATCCTTATAAATCCTTGCCTCAATTATGATAGTGTTTTTTGTTATTTTGAGGGATTTGGTAGGAGGGTGTTAAAGCACAAGCGCATAACAACCCAATGCTTCAGATTTACATAGCCATTGTTTTGCTTAATGACGCATGTATTATATATGTTAGTTTTGCTCAGTGAGGAGGGGCTATGATTCCAAGCAGTTAAGCCATTCTCCCATCTTTGTGAACTGTAGAGTGCCTCTACACTGCAAAATTAATCCAGTTTCACGCCAATTTAACCGCCATGGCTTAGTGCTAAGGAATCATGGGAGTTGTAGTTTTACAAAGTCTGCCAATGAGTGCTGATTATAATTCCCATGATTCCTTAACATTTAGCCACCGCAGTTAAAGTGGTGTCAAACTGTATTCATTCTACAGTGTAGATGCACCCTTAATTATTGATTCCCCTGGCCAAGTGGAATTCAACAAAAGTGGATAGGTAAATGGATTTCTTTCCCCATGAAAAGTCAAACTTGATGTAGAGGACATTTTTCCACCAGTACATCTGTTCCTGATTCATCCAGAATAAGGAATGGAAAACATTTCCACTATACCTGCTTCCCAAAGATTGTATTGCATGGGATTAAGATTTAATATTTGAAAACCAAGAGACTATTTTTTTTTCTTCTGAAGAGCAAGGTAGCTGTAGTCAAGCCCACTTTCATCAGAATATTTTTCCCAAAATTGTGCTACAGAGGCACTTGAAGATTTTTGGTCAACAGAATGTAATAGATCCCTATAAGTTATATTCTGACAAATGGGTACACTAGATGAGTTCACTCAGCCCCATTTATTTCATCAACAACATGGTGATAAAACCATATATATTGAATAATGTTTCATAATCTCGTACCCCAACCAGGTGGATTTTTTCTTACAGATCTCAAGAGCTGAGTTAATGTAAATCAAACAAATCTTTATCAACTAGTTGTGGGTAGAAGATACTCTAAAGTTCCATTTCTTTGTTGTATTTCTTGGGCCCCTTCCACAAATCTGAACAAAATCCCACATTATCTACTTTGAATTGGGATATATGGCAGTGTGGACTCAGATATTGCAGTTCAAAGCAGATATTGTGGGTTATTGTGCCTTGATATTCTGGGTTATATGGCTGTGGAAGGCCCCAAGGTTTCTTCCTGTATTTTCTTTGGGCTGCTGGTTGTTCTTAGATGCTATTATGTACTGGCTTTTAGTATTTTCTGGACTAACTGTTCCGTTATCGCTTGCTTTTATTCTTTTCTGACCTTTATTATTGTATCAGATTTTATTGCAACTCATGTGTTTTACCCTTGAAGTTGGGTTAAAATGCTTGCTCTAAAACAAAAATAATAAATGAAATAATAACAAAATGTTTTCTATTCCCTTGCTTTCCTTTGTATAGATTACAGGAAAACCAGCCTTGCTCCATATGTGAAAGTCTTTGAGCAATTTGTTGAGGAACTGGAAAGCTCACAGAGAGGGGAACGTCTCAATGCCAGTGGTAAGTCAGATGGAGGATGCTGGCTTCCATTGACAGATTCCAAAAGTTCCCTACACACTGTGGAATCAGCATAGCTGGAGTCAGTTACTTTAACTGTTATTTTAGAGCATGCACCAAAAACATATATATAATACAGCCTCCATATCCATGAGAGATACATTCTAAGAATACCTGAAACCATGGATAATAGCAAACCCTGTATTTTGACTATATATAGGCAAGAAGCATCCCACTGAATTGCACTAGAGGACCTAGAGAAATCCATACCCACTTCTGAGGGGGAAATATTTTTTAAACATAAATATGTGAAACCATGGATATCAAATCTGTGGATAAGGGGGTCATACTGTATTACACTACCACTGTGCCTCTTGATTACATTAAAACTAAAGTATTGATTTTATTCTATGATTGAGACTTAATGCAGAATTGTACACTGGAACCATGAGCCGGACACCAAAGGTGTCCATCTCATATTGAAACCCCACCCCCCATCTACACAGTTTAGAAATTCTTTTGGACTATAGTTCCTCACAATCTCCAAATCTCCAAACTCTTATAGCCAGTGATCCTGGTCCAAATAATAACTTTTCTAAGCTCTTTCCGTATTTAAACATGTGGTAGATCTGTCCTTCTAGCCTGATGTTATTACATTGTTTTTCTCCTCCACATAATTGGCTACTAGGCAGGGCAGGGGAATCACAGAGCATAATGATGTCAGACTAGTGACCTTGTGGTACCTCACCCAGAGAAAGGAGGGATGATGATGATGATGACGTTGATAAATGAAAGAGCAATAAGAGTAACACTGTATTACACATACTGAACACAAGTCTGTTTTGCATCTGTTCCAGTAGTTTACAATTCTGCCTTTTGAGACAAGACCCCTGAAAATCCTACTGTGTGCACATTACAATGGCAAGTGAAAATAACCTCAAGAGCCATTTTAGGGAGAATCAGATCCAAATCCGACAGAACCGTTGTGTGGAGATAGTGGGCAGTACAAATCATTTGGGTTTCAAACTAAGAAAAAATTAAAATCTTAGATTTCTCACCCTTAATGATAGCTGCAAAAGGTGTTGTCCATCATGTTGGATGTCTTCAGCATATACTTAACAGTTCTTAAATTTGTCTTTCCTTTTTTTCAGACATGCAGATGGATTTCTAAAGTTCTTGATGCACAGAAATGACACCCATTTCATCCAACCAGTTAATTGTCATCACATGTGGAAAGGATATATTTAAATATTTTCTTTAAATTTTGCAGTGACCAACTTTTTACAGAACCAAGCAACACTGACTTTTTGGTTATGCTCCAAGTCCTTGACTATATCATCAACACTCACTCCCCCCTGCAGGTATCCCTTAAGCATGCTTGCCCTGCTGCCTGTTTCAGCACTTTCATTGTATTCTACCCATTTAGTTAATATTTCTCAGCATAACACAATCTGGGTTAGGTTATCACTTAAGCAAGCTTTGCACTTCAAAACCAGATGTAAATAAAATACAAATAGTGCAATTCTGGCCTCCATGTTTAATAGTGACTAATCGACGTGAGTCTCTGCCTTATGGGTGGCCAATCAAGGAAACTAGCAAACGTGATTAATTCATATTATATCATCGATTTCAAATTGTGTCCATTTTTGAAACACCCTGTAGTTCCATTGTTTATTAATTTTTCACTCAGACATTGCTAGAACTTTTGCTTGGGGGAGAGAGCAGGGAGACACTATGACTTCTATTCTTATTCTCTGCTGTTTGCTTGTTTGTTATCTATAGTGCTGGGGAATTCTGGGAATTCTATTCCAAAACCAGTAAATTTTCCAAACTGATTTCAACACAGTAATGATAAAGGGACTAAATGTGTGATGTATTAGAAGTTTTGCATTCAACCATAGATTAAAACAACCCCAACAACCTGGGAGGATAGAAGAAAAACTGAAATGTCTAATTGTGTGACAGGCAGTACATTTTTGTGCCATTAACATCCATGTATATTAGAACCCTCCTGCTCTGACACTGGGGCCCCATCTACACTGCCATATATTCTGGTTTCGGAATGCAGATTATCTGCATTGAACTGGATTATATGGCAGTGTAGACTCATCCAATTCAAAGAGGTTAGTATGCATTCTGAAACTGCATTATATGGCAGTGTAGATCCAGCCTGAGTTCTAACTGAATGGTTGGAGCTTATTCAGTGCAATACCATAGTTATTCAGTACCCTCTTCTGAGTGCTGTTTAAGGATAAATCAATCCAGTATCGCACTCCAAGATGGGAGAGGGAATTGGGAGCACAATTACAGAAAGGGGAAAACATCTCCACACAATGCCAGTGACAGCTGGTGACTTCTAGGTCATTGGGGCATTGTAACTGCACCAGAGTGCATTCATTGCCCCACTGGCATGAAGGTCACCACCTGCTGCTGCTGTAAGATGATAAATCTGAGGCGAGGGTAACAGGAAGCTTTCCTCTACTTATAGGCATCTCTTTTCTATGCATAGTGCATCAAGATTGGTTGTGTGTTGCTTTTTGTTCATAGACACTCACAAGGATGGTCTTTTGGGGTTAAAGGACATGGATATAGTAATACATCTGGAAAACTAGTGGTTGCTTCCAATTCAGCAAATAAGTAGTAGGATACAGACTTAACCTTAAAAAGTTATGTCAGCAGCTCTATCATAAACCTTTAAAGCAGGAATAGGATTGGTATGCACCTCCAGAGGTAGTTAGGTTGCAACTCATATCAACCTTAAGCAGCATAGCCAGTGGGTAAGGAATGGGGACAGCTGTCAGTCAACATCTGGGGGGCCTGATTCCCATGCCATCTGAAAAATACAAATAGCTAAATGAGTGTGATAACTGTTTCTGGTACAATGCCTCTTATTCTCTCTGTGTGTTTGTTGACATTATTTCTTTCTCTTATGAGGATTGTTACTTTTTCTTATGAGTAATGGGTTCCATTTTGTCCTTTCATCTGCTTATATATATTTAAACTATAACTGTCTTTGCAAATATTTTTCTAAATAAAAAGTTTCATAAATTACTTTGAAAATGGCTTAGTTCATGCAACTATGGGGTAATAAGTCTTGAAACAAAAATACGTTTCCTTCAAAACTTGATAATTGTAGCAGTTCTGAAATTAATTTTCAGGCTGCAGATGACTGACCTGGAAGAAGTGGGGGTGGGGGGACTCTTGAAGACCAGCTGAGAATCCAGGAATGCAAAAAAACAAGGGCAAATAAGACAGCATTCCCATAAACTGCAATATCCCATTGCAATTTCACAGAAGTAGAATTGTTATTCTGCAATACCAGAAGCCACCTGTATGATAACACCCTCACTTTAAGCATGTGGTTGTACTTTTAATATAGGAAGTGTAATACACTTCAGATACTATTGGACTGTCAGCTCCCAGCAAACCTAACCATAAAAGTTGCAGTGAAGAATACTGGGAGTTCTAGTCCAACAACATTCTGGAGGATTGCATGTTTCCCAGCCCTGCTTTACAAGCCTTCTCTACCAGAGTGCTGGTGCCTCCCCAAACTGCAATTCCATACCATTGAGCCATTGCAATTAAAGTTGTTAATTATACAGTGCAGGTGCATTCTTAGTTTAGACATCTTGGCTTCTGGGGAAAGTTCGGGCTTCTTTGCACTAGGATTCGGTCATGGCTTGTATTAGCAGCCCACATTACCCAGGGTACTCTCCTTCAGCACCCATTTCAGCAGCGTTAGGTATGATCGACCATGGTATCTTTCTGGGTTGTCTTGCTGGGATGGGATTAGGAGTCCCTCTTCTATAGTGGCTCCGTTCCTTCCTAGAAAATTGTACCAAGAAGGTGGTATTGGGTGACTCCTGTTTGACCCCCTGGCCATTGGCCTGTGGGGTACCCTCGGGGATCTATTCTGTCACCCATGCTGTTTAACATCTACATAAAACCGCTGGGAGATATAATCTGGAGGTTTTGAAGTCTGGTGCCATATTTATGCAGATGTCACCCAACTCTATTACTCCTTTCCAAGGATGTCATTGTGATCCTGAACCAGTATCTGTCATCAGTAATGGACTGGATCCAGGCAAATAGATTGAAACTAAATCCTGACCAGACATACTCCTGGTCAGTTGCAAGGCAGATCAGAGTATAGGGATACAACCTGTGCTGGATGGGGTTACACTCCCCCTGAAGTCACAGATACACAGCTTGGGGGTGATCCTAGATTCATCTCTGACCCTGGAGCCTCAGGTGTCAGTGATAACAAGGAGTGCCTTTGCATAATTAAAGCTCGTGCGCCAGCTGCACCCATACCTTGAGACACCAGATTTGGCCAAGTTAGTACATGTCTTAGTTACGTTTCAATTGGACTACTGCACCGTGCTCTACATGGGGCTGCCTTTAAAGAATGCTCAGAAGTTTCAACTGGTTCCGAGATCAGCAGCTAGGTTACTTACTGGAGCTCTGTATAGAGAGAGAACAATTCCAATGTTATGGCAGCTCCACTGGCTACTGGGCTAAATTTAAAGGTTCAGGTCCAGACTACCTGACAAACAGCCTCTCCTCATATGAACCTGCCCACATGCTGTGGTCATCAGGGGAAGACCTCCTCTTGATCCCACCCCGTCTCAAACCCGGTTGGTGAGGAAGAGAGGGGACCTTCTCTGCAATTGCCCCCCACCTCTGGAACTCTCTCCAGAAGGAAATTAGAAGGGCCTCTTTGCTGCCCTCTTTCAAATATCTATTAAAAACTCGCCTATGCTCCCAGGCATATGAAGAGCCTAACATCTGAAGAACTGGCTTTTAATTCTGGGTGTGACTTTTAACTTTGGACATGGCTTTTAACCTTGTTTTATTGGGGATTGTGTAATTGTGTTCTGTTGACTGTATGATTATTTTATTATTGTTTCTATGGCCCGTTTGCTTTATTATTTCATGTTCGCCTGTCCCCACGGGGAGAGGGGGCGGGATACAAATAAAGTTTTGATTGATTAATTTGATCTCAAATGAGTTGATCTTCCAGTCAACTTTCTTCACATCCATCTGTCACAACCAGATCATCACACTAGAGAAAAAAAATCCACTTAAAATCCAGTTTCTGCCTCCTGCAGAATTCTGGGGTTTGTAGTTTAGGGAGGAGCCTTTAACAGCCTCACTAAACTACAAAGCCCTGACTTCTACAGGAGGCAGAAACCGGATTTTAAGTGGATTTTTTTTCTCAAGTGTGATGAAGTAACATAGAAACTGGAAAGAAGGTGCATTACTCCTCCACCCCCCTATCACAGGTATTTTTCTGCTGTAGACACAGAACTGGCCTTATCCCGCAGCACACTTGTAAATGTGGGGTGCATCAACATTAGAAGGAATTATGTCTTGTTGAAGGCTTTCATGGCTGGAATCACTGGGTTCTTGTAGGGTTTTCGGGCTATATGGCCATATTCTAGAAGCATTCTCTCCTGACGTTTTGCCTGCATCTAGGGAAGGCATCCACATGGAGGATGCTTGCCATAGGAGAAACGTCAGGAGAGAATGCTTCTAGAACATGGCCATATAGCCCGAAAAACCTACAAGAACACTAGAGGTAATAGTTTGCCTTCACTTTTCACTGCTGTGAATGGGATTGTGAGAGCTGTAGTTTGGGAAGGTCTTGAGCTTTCACTGCCCCCGGTGGTTTAAACCCCTGTGCTGGCAGGACTGAAGACCGACAGGTCGCAGGTTCGAATCCAGGGAGAGGCGGATGAGCTCCCTCTATCAGCTCCAGCTCCTCATGCGAGGACATGAGAGAAGCCACCCACAAGGATGATAAAAACATCAAATCATCTGGGCGTCCGCTGGGCAAGGTCCTTGCAGACGGCCAATTCTCTCACACCAGAAGTGCCTTGCAGTTTCTCAAGTCGCTCCTGACTGACACGACAAAAAAAAACTGCCTAAGACTGGGAGCGTCTCTCCAAACTACGATTCCGATGAATCCGTAGCATTGAGCCATGGCAGTTGAAGCGGGGTCAACCGGCTTTAATTGGAGAGGGTCCCACCGAGAATAAACGAAGCAGCAGCAGACAAACCACGTGGGCCACCCCGCAGGGACCCGGACGTCCTTGTGGCGCAGACCGGAAGTGGCCTTCTCTCCGTCTCTCGCTCTCTTTCCGCCGCCATCTTGTGCCCGGCTCGTCTCCTACAGTAAGTCTAACTCGTCTCTATCCGCCGCCATCGGCTTCTCAGCGGCGCCGGGCAGGGCGGGCAGGAAGGTGCCGAAGCGGGGAGAGGCAGGGGTTGCTGAGGGGAGCCATATGGGCGAGCGGGGCCGACTTCTAGGCCACTGGGAGCCCCGTCTCCTGTCGCGGGGCCTTGGCTTCGAGAGCGGAGGGCCTTCGCCTACTACGGGAAGCGGGCGAGGGAAGGCTGCCTTGGTGTGGGCCTTCGCCTGCCAGGGTGCCTTTGCTGCCAAGGGAAGGGCATTTCCCCCTTTGGGCCTGGGGACTGTGGCCACTTCTGGGCCCTAACAGTGCTGACAAGCCGGAAGGTGTCATGAGAAGGGCGACCAAATGGTCAGATGTTTGGAAGCCAAGTCCATTGAGACAGCTTGATACGTTGTGCTTGAAGAAGAGAAGGCTGAGAGGAGGGGACATGAGAGCCGTGTTGAAATATTTGAAAGGATGTCATGTTGAGGAAGGGGGCAAACTTCTCTGCTGTTCTGGAGACTAGGACACAGAGTAATGGGTTCCCATTGCAGGAAACAAAAATCCACCGAAACATTAGGAAGAACACCCTGATGGTAATTGCAAGCATCCTCGTGGTGTGGCAGCATATTCTCCCCTTTTCTGGAGGTCTTTAAAGCAGAGGCTGAATGGCTATCTGTCAGGGGTGCTTTGGTTGTGTGTTCCTGCATGGCAGGTTGGACGGTTTGGGCCTTGGAGTCCTGTGATTCTATGACTGGATCTGCCAGGAATGGATCCATGGTTTTCCTTCTCACTTCTCCTTGATTGTTTTACTTACAAGCATTCTCCAGAAAATGAGGTTTCTTACCACCATTCCAGTGTTTTAAGAGAAGGATAAAAAGTTCAGGCAAGATGGGAGTCTCAGGTCTTAGGAAACCGGGTATATCACACCATTCTGCTGGTTTTGGGGAAATAGCTGTGCCTTGGAGAAGAAGTGAGTGGGAAGTTGCATCTGAGAGCCCAGTGAAAGTGTATAGATCTGAGTGTATGGGAGGGTAAGACACCTTCTCTTTCCAATAGTAAGCAGATAAATCTATCAAGAAAATGTACAAGCTTGTTTCCAAGTGACATCTACTTAGTTTCAAGTGTATGCCGTTTCTCTGGTGTCTATTTAGTTCTGGTTGGCTAGTTTCTTGATTCAGCTGTTTTTCCTGTGAGATGCATCTTGGAATTGTCCAAACTTTCTTTTTCTTGACCTGCATTGCTCTTCCTCAAGCCACAAGGAAAGGCGGGTAAGAAATAAAGTTATTATTATCAAAGCATTTATTACTATTCTAAACTATTTTTGTTATTGTTAGTGTCATTGCTGGTAGAGCTCTGTTCAGTAAGGGCCGAGGTGGTGAGTTCATAATTTTAAAATTCTTCAGCAAATACTCAATGATGCAATATAACCAAAAATGCTGCTGCTAGGAAGTAGAACTAAAAACTATAGTTCTAGCAGCCACACTAGCTTTGCCAGTTTCAGTTTGGGTACATCAGTGTACTCTTAACTGCCATGATTCAGTACACTGTGAAAACCTGGAAGCTATAGTTTTAAAAGTTCTTTAGCCTTCTCTGCCAAAGAATGCTGATGCATCACCAAACTGTAACTCCCAGAATTCCATAACATGGGCCATGACAGTTAAAGTGGTATCAAACTGCATTCATTCTATAGTGTAGATGCACCTGACTTTGCTTTAAATTTAGCTGTTTAGTGGTATTGGGCAGAATGCTTTAACATGATTTCTGTCTCTTTCTTAGAGGTGTATGAAAGGTCTACTGTATTTTAAGACTTCCAGGATAAATGTGTTAATATTTTTATCAAGATGATTACTTTGAGCAAATTATAGTTTATACAGTATTCATGTGAGGGAAGTATTTCTGTTTCATGTGTATATGACGTTTCCCTGGTTATTCTGAGTGGAGATACTCTCCAATATTATTACTGGGATAACATTTGGAAATATGACTAAAATTTATTTTTGTTCCTCCTAGAAATGCCTGGTGAAGCCACAGAAACTGTCCCGGCGACAGAACTGGAGCTGCCACAGCCTCATGCTGAGACAGGTTAGTGCCCTGTATGATTAATATGCCTCCAGAAAGAATCCTGAAACTCGTCTGGTCAGGTAACCAAGCCAGTAACACTATTTTGAGAGGAGAAACATCCAAGTAATTAGTGTAATGTAGCATTGTGTCCAAGATACTACAACTTGAATCTTTTACAAACTGATGAGAGAGCATGTCCCATTAAAACAGAAGCAGTCAGTTGTGACCATCAGATGCTGTTGAAGCAACTCCCTCTCTTGGTTATGCTGACTAGGGCTGTTGGGAGCGGAGGTCCAGCAATATCTGAACATCTGCATTTATCTCACCTAATTTACATTTTGCCTCTGCTATGAGCTTATTAGTCTTCCTTATGGAAGCTGCTATGTTTCAGCTTCCAGTCCACATCTACCATATGAGAATAATGAAGTTTGCTGTTAGCATTACTGAGATAATATACACTAAGCTTTTATACACTTAAGACATCCAGAATATTGTTTTGACTTGAGAAAGTTTGAGATAATACATTTCAAAGTTTGCGTCTTTGTTAAATTTGATCTGTTCTGATTTTGATGAGTTGCAGGGTCTCTCTGAGACATGACAGAGCATGCTAAAGGTGAATCACAAACTGGATAAACACTATAATACGGCTTGATTGTAGAAGTTTTAGCATATGATATGCTAACAACAATAATGGTTGTGTTTATGAATTGTGTGCATGTGTGCGTTCTAACTTGTGTGATTACCAAAGGAAGCAAGAAAAAGTTGATTCTTGTTTTCTCTAACCCAGCACTTCTCTAATGGTTTTGGTGATCTTTTTGACCTTTTTTTCTAGAGTATACTTTTCTTCTTTTATAACATCTCCATATGGGCAGTTTTCTCAGTTGTTTTTCATGACTAGCTAGTGCTAAACCGAGTATGTCTTCTTCAGGAAAGAAGAGAGAGATGGTTCAGAATCAAATGAAACAAGGGATTCATGATATTAATAACCCTGTGTAATAGCCTGTAAAGAGAATTTCAGCACAAAATCAGCCAGTAAATACTTGGTGGCTCTTAACATTTTACAGATTGCAGGTGGACACATTGAGATAGGATGGTTTAGTGTGGCTGTGAAACCTTTAAGAGATAATATGGGCTTGGATTAGATTTCAGACCTGAAACAATCTCTTTACCTATTAAACTGAAAGAATTAAATCTCAAGGGGATACATTATCTACTCCACTTAACTTCGATGAAGAGGCATGAAGCACTTTGCTTTGTGTTTTCAAGGCAGTGTTTCTTTGAGAAAATAAATGGTATTTCAATGTGTGCTTGCGTGTATGTGCTTACATATGTATATGGGTGCCTTTCTCTGAGTGGAACCTAATAACTGTCAACCTCCTCCCCAAATATGTTATGTTTCCACCTGTCTGTTCAAAGGGTATTACGGATGCTGATTAGCAGAGAGCCAGGTTTCCTGGTTTGCCACCTTTCTTCCTGGAAACTTAGGGGACACTGCATGCCTCTGGGACTTGGTCCTCCCCTTACTACACCTGTGCATGGGCTATTGCACACTGCATGACTGGTAAATGAAATGATTTTAAGCAGTGTGTGAATTTGACTTGGAGATAGAGCGGGATCATGGAAGTCTATTGGAAGATTATATATTGTATACAGTTGAATGGAAAAGTGTTCCTCTAAAGCAGGGAGAGTAGCAGTTCATGTGCTTCACAGGGCCTTGGAGGGATGTGCCTCTACTTCTGGTTTAATTTTTTTATTCAGAATGCTTCCTGCACTCTCTGTGTGGGAAGGGGGAAGGAATCTTGTCACACATGCCCAAGACTCTAGAGGAACATTCTTCCATGCCACAAAGAGAACCAGAAGTCATTCCTGGTTTTGAAAAAGGAGTCTCTTGGTTTGAAACAGTCCAGGAAATCTAAAGACATTGAAAAATCAGATGATATAGAAGGCATTATGAATTTTTGCATACTTTTTTTAAAAAACAGTACAAAATCCAGGTCATATATTTGCATCACTGTCATTAACCCTATTATAAGGCAAGCAACAAATGCATATTCTGCATTATGTAGTGTGCATATCTAAGCAAAGTCCACAGTGGTTTTTCCCTTGATCGATTTCTGCCAGGGAAATATCCCAGAATTTGGTTAAAGACAATTGGTTATAGATGCCAGAGTAGATTTTGGTACTTGTGTTATGCTAGAGTGATTAATCACTCTGGAAATGTGACTGGAGCACAGATACAGATTTTGATTCACTTCAATCAAGCTTTACTTTTTTTGTAAGATTAAGATGTGACATAGAAGGCAGTCGTGACAAGAGGACCCATAGAGACAATATCAGCAGTAGATTGGCATAAATTATCAGGCAGATAAGATGGTAGGTAACAGAATAACATTGGTAAAACCAATTCTAGAAGCAGAGTTATCACCCCCCCCCCCTCAAAAAAAAAAAAACACCCAGGATATATCGGATGTTTTGAAGTCTTCCGAGTCATTCGTCATCAATGATGCAAGCTTTGATATTCGCTATAACCCTGGTAGTTGCATTTCTTATCTCCCAATTTTAGTCTGGATTGGTGTTTGACACACAGTGCTAATCTTCAAAAGTTGATGCCATCTGAATTCAATTATGGCAACAATGAGCTACCTTAACATGGGTGATCTTGTCTGAAGGTTCCATTACAACAGGTTTTAAGTTTAGTCAAGAGAATTAGTACAGTAATGCCAGTTCACCTCAGTTTGCCTAATTGCTCTGGAAGCTAGTTGTTTTGATGCACTGTGCATGAGGATTTGCTTTATTAATCATGGTGCCATTTTCCTCTGAGGTGCCAAGCATACTGTAGTTTTCACAATTTCCCACAGTTAGATACATTTCCTTTTGGGCTGTTAGCCAATCCCATAAGGCATGTGCAGACATTTTGGTCTCTTGACTGGTATCTGAACAGTTGGCACTATTGCAGTAACTCCAGCTCCTGGGGCCCCCATGGAAGTGAAGCTGACAGCTGAGGAGTCCAGACCAGTTGCCACCAAGAATCCTGAGGTGGCAGGCCAGGGTTCTCAGGCTGGGACAGCTCTAGAGCCTTCAGGTAGGTCTCAATGTAAAAAAGAAGGATGCAGGCAAAATAGCATTCTGATTATAAAAGAATTAAATGCAAAAACAACACAGTAAATCACCCATCAAATAAAGATAAGTGTTTTGGGGTTTTTTAATTAACATCACTTAAGCTTGAACAGTAAAGATGTGTTAAAGGTTTGCATAAGATGTTGTTAAATATGCTTCATGTAGTATGTAGGAGCTCTTTGAAACTTACACCTTAGTGATGCTGTATTCATATGTTTAAAATAAATCAAGAGGGAAAGCGGATATGAACATAATCCTTTAAAATAACTGTTCATACTTATCCAGTCGTGTGTTTTTTAAGCCTGGCTCCTATAACAGCCAAAGATTTAGAATTTTACTTTGATAAATCATTCTGCTTCCTTAGTGTGAAGCCTATTACTTGCTGGTTTTATCGTGAGCCTTTTTCCTGCCTTGTTCCAAGCGTTTTAATTTTGAATTGTGCATTCGTTTATCTTGCTGGCCCAATGAAGAACTGCTTTTTCAGTTGTTTCCCGATTGGAACTTGATTACACAGCAGTGAACAGATATCAGTGATCACTTACTGTGTCCTGTCTCTGTTCTTCAGTGGGTGGTTGAATGACTGGTGCAAACCAGGTTGTTTGGAAGTTCCAGTGCAATACATACCTGCTTGCATTTATATTTAAATAGCATTGTTCTAAAATTCATATTATTGGAGAGACGTGGTATATTCTCATTGAGTCATACAAACATCGATATAACTTATTTTATGGGTACCACAGTAGAAGATTATTGACAAGTTAGAATTAATTAAAAGGTTTAAAAACCAAGACCTGCCAGGAACAGCTTAGGGAGCATGGACAAGAGACAACTAAGGGGTAACATTGTAACCATATGAAAAGGGATGTCATGTGAAAGCTGGAAACAGCTTTCTTTTTGCTGGGACTGGGGAAAAAACAAGATTCATATTACAGCAGGGATTCTACCTAACCACTGAAAATGACTTTATGGCAGCAAGAGCTGTTAAACAATGGAACAGGCAGCCCTGGAAAGTGGTTTACCTTTGTCCTTTGGTGATATTTGACAGAGTTCAGTTATCCATCTGTCAAAAGTGCTTTAGCTTGTATACCTGCATAGCAAATGGTTGGGCTAATTGGCCTTTGCATTATCTTCCAGTTATATGTGATTCTATAAACAAAGTATTTCCTGCAGTTCTTACCTTCATTGAGCGGTTTCCCCTCTATTGATAGGCAGAACTTTGCTGTCTGTGTGCTCATGTAATGTGTAAAGTTCATCCATCCTCTTTTCAAAAATGAGTGGCTCATGCTGTTAACATGACCATTTTCTTTTTTCCTAAACCCTTACAATAACTGATATGCTATAAATTGTATCTCCCCAAAGCAAGTTTATTTTAATTTTGGTCTCATCTCAGAATAAAACTAAGTGTAATTGAAAGGCAGTAAAGGGAATGAAATGCAATTTGCTTCAAGGGTGGGCAGCTCTTCATACTCTTAATTTGTTATCTTGATGAAACCAAGAAACTAGGACCTTCTAAATTGTATTGCCTTTTGATGCGTTGATCTCATTTATAACTTGTTACACTTGCTCATTTAGCTCCTGCTATCCCTGCCCTTCATGTGGGTGCTCCCAAAGCACCTGCCACACGTTTTTCTGATACCAGGTATTTTTTCTTGCAGCAGGTATTCAAACACCCAAGTATTTGCTCTGAATTTTAGTGTATTCTTCCTTAACAGAAGCTTGCTGTGCTGTGTCAATGCAGTTAAATTAACCATAAAGTTGAGTAAGTTGGGGTGATGTTTGCTAAATATAAAACATGTGGGAATCTATTCTCTTCAATTCTGCTTCTGTCTCTTCTATTAATATAAACATTTTGTGAATTTCAAAAATAAATATGTCATGGATAGACTTAGATCATGGCTGGTGCCCTCCATATTTTGAACCACCTCATGTATATATTAAAGGCAGGTTTCACGGGGCAGGATTATGGATTTTAATGTGATCTTTGAATAACTCAATGGTAAAAAAATTTTACTCAGCACAAAGCTCCTTAGATCCATTCCTTGGAGAGGCAAAAGTACTATGCTGCCAAATTCCCACCCAGGCATTCAGAAGGCCTTTCACCATTCTAGTCAGAGGAGGAGATGGATCCTCTTTTAATTCAAGTTAATGTTCATTGTACAGTATTAACTCCTTGTCAAAAAAAGGAACCGTCTCTTTCTCTTAAGTAGAGTGGCAAACAGAAAAAGCTTAGTCCATCCCAAAGGAACATAAAAGAAGCACCGGTTTCTCTCTCTGCCACAGTTCTACTTTTGGTCTTATTTTAATGCCTGAATAGGAAAATGGCAGCAGAGGCTCCTTAGCACTACCATGCTTTAACAGGGAGGGCATTTGGGGTCAGGTCTAATTTTATGGTAAATCTGCCACTAACTGTCGTCTGGGGAAAATCCCAAACTAGTACTAACATGCTTCACTCTTCTGGCCATGATAGTGTCTTTTTAGCACTAGCCTACCTTAGTGGGGATAGCAGAGAGGGTCAGTACCTTTTTTATGATACGCTCTTCCCCAGCAGTTGGGCAACAAAGAGGGAGCCAGAGAAGACAAAAGGGAAGAAACCGGCCACTTGTACAGCTGTGGCAGAAGGATATAGCATATGGCAAAGAAACACCATTGGTGACAAAGGCAATTTGGCTGGAGAAGCACCCATTTGTTGTCTTTTGCCTGCCTTCTTCAGATCCTCTTCTCTGACTGATTGCCCTTAACCTGCTTGTCACCTTTGGGAAGAGGGAGAAAAGAATGAGGAGGCAAGTGGGTTGCTTCCGTCAGTTGGCTGTTGGACTTACTGCTGGCGATATTTGAAAGACAACCTACCATTAAAAAATATCTTAATCCATCTTTGCTCTTTGTGCAAAGAAAGGGTATCACCAAAGCACAACTGCCTCCATTTTCATGCCCAGACATTCAAAAAGGCCAAAAGCAGAACCATAAGAGAGGAGCCATTCTGACTAGTTTGAAAGGGATCGGTTTTTCAGCACAAATCTGTACGGTACTTTATCCAATTTGAACAGTTACCTAACAGTTATGTCCTCTTGCCAGTTACACAGAAAGGCTCATTAGTATTTTTAACAGATCCCCTGAAATGGCCCTTCCAAGTGCTGCCCTTGGTATCTGGCTTGTGCAATACCTTTGGATCCTGTGAAGAGTAGGTTCACCTTGAAATTGTACAACATGATATACTTGAGGATACAACCCTATCACACTTACTTCCAACTTTGGAAACACCTTAAATTTTCTCTTAGACGGAAAGCTTGCTGACTTGTTTACAGATTTTATTTCTGCAGCCAGATTAAACTGGCTTTTTCATTTTAAATGGAGCCTATATTATAAAACAATCAATTGAATTTTTTTGTCTGTGGGTAGTTAATTCCCACAAATTAAAAAAAATCCTTCTCATGTTAAAAGCAAAGTCCCGAATATCTGCATAGCAAGGTTGGATGTGGAGTAAGAGATACAACTAGGAAATATTTGCAACAGAGTGTGATACAGCTATGACAAAAAAATCTCAAATGGTCTATTTCTGCAATATCCTTCAGTGGAATACCTTTATTACGATGTGACATGATCTGGGCTGCAGGTAACAAAAACAATTTGCTACTTTCTGGTAGCAGCTGCATTTCTTTCTGTCCTACAGGTAACTGTACAGTTTTTCTATGTGGGAAGCTCCAGCTAACTTTTTTCCCTTCCCCGTTTTTTTTTTTTTTCTTTTCATCATTGATTCATCTTTCTCTCTCCTTTAGCTGCTGTTTCCAGCTCCTCTGATTCTAGTCCTGCACACCCTTCCTCCTTATCCCATGATGCTAAATCTTCCCCTACTGGATCCTGTCCTTTCAGCACTCCACTGGCTCCTGCTGGCTTTGCTGTGGCAGCCCAGACTCCTCTTTCTCCTCTCAAGCCTACTGATTTGGTTATACCTGCACAAGCAGCTAGCCCCTCATCTCCAGGCATTGCATCAGATTCTCACCTGGCTCCAGTGATACTTTCTGAGTCTGTTGGTTTAGCTTCTCCAGCTTCTACCATGAGCCCACCTCCGATGGCTCCTGCTGCCCTGGTTTCTCAGATGCCACCATGTACACCTGCCCCAGCTCCTTTCATTATCCCAGTTGCTCCTGTTTCTCCCTCTATAACACCAGCCCCTCCTATTCTCCCTGCTTCTTCGAACCCTTTATCAGCTCCTCCCAAGTTTCCTGTCAGTCCCACAGCCCCTATTCCAATTTCTGCCCCTACATTCCCATCTTTTCCTTCATGTCCTCTTCTCCCAGCATCTGCCATTTCTCCCTCAGCTCCACCAGTGCTGCCCTCTCTTAGACCCATAACCTCTTTTCCAGTTCCTCGCAGTCCTGGAGCTCCCCCTCCAGCACTAGCCACTCCTACTTCAGCCCCAGTGTCCCCTCCCCCTTCTACTAAACCACAAAACTCAGTGATGCAGCCTACTCTAGCCCACAACCCAACTGCTTGTTTAGTAACTACATCTAGTTCTGTGGCCCCTGCAGGGCCACCTTCAGGACCATCTGCAGGTTCTGTTTGTCCTCCCGTGATTCCTCCTTTGGCACCTGTCTCTAAACCTGTAGTATCTGTTTCTCCTGTGGCTTCTGTTGCACCCTTGGAAGCCTCTTCTAAAAGCCCAATCAAGCCTGCCTCTGGTCCTGGTGTCCCAGCAGCAGCTCCATTTGCACCACCTGCAAAATCTGTCTTAGTACCAGTTTCTGGTCCTGTAGTCCCTCCCCCAGCCCCAGCAGCAGCCTCCTCTGGTTTTATGGCACTTATAGAAACACCTATGAAACCAAGTACCAGTCCTATAGCTCCAGCAGGCCCTGCTTCTGAGCCATCTGTAAAACCCGTGTCTGCTCCTGGAGCTCCTCCTTTGATTACAGCCAGCCCCACTGTTGGTCCTGTGGCACTCACAGGGCCATCTGTACAGCCTGCTTCCCCTTTAGCCCATATTTCTAGTCCCAGAACTCCTCTGGTCACAGCAGGATCTCATTCTGGTCCAGTGGCACTTGCAGAAGCAACTGTGAAACCAGCCACAAGCCCTGGAACACCAAAAGACCCTGCATTTTTTTCGGTAGTACCTGCTGGTCCACCTATAAAACTTCCTTCTGTCACTCCACAGGGTCAGACAGCAGGTTCCATGCCACCTGCTGGACCATCTGTAAAACTTCCTTCTGGCCCTGCAGCCTCCACAGAGGCAGTTTCAACTCCATTGTTACCTATGGAGCCATCTGCAAAACCCATGTTTTCCCCAATGATCTCAGCAGGGCCTATATCTACACCTGTGGCAGCTGCAGGATCCCCTGAGAAATTTGCTTCACCTGTTCCTGGCCTTGCCAGTGCCCCAAACACCCCTCTTGATCCAGTAGCACCTGTTCTCAAGCCTATGACACCTGTTTCTAGCTCTGTGCCCCTTCCAGGGTCACAGGGAGTACCAGCTTCTTCACCACTGATGCCTACATGGCCCTCTGTGAAATCTAGTTCTTCTTCAACACCTACTTCTGGCCCTAAAGCCCCGCCAGTGCTTGCTTCTCAGCCTGTAGCTCCTGTTTTGGCCCCTGTATCTGGCCCTATGCCTGGAGTTCCTGTAGAATCTGTTCCTACACCATTGTCACCACCAATGAAATCTGTCACTCTGGCACCTGCCCCTACTCCTTTGGCTCCAGCAGGGCCTCTCTCTAGTCCTATGCCATCCACTACCCAATCTGTGGCTCCTCCTCTGATCCCTACTTACAGTTCAGTGGTTGCAGCAGCACCTGCAACTAAGCAGCTGACACCCGCAGTGCGCCCTCTGGTACCTCCCTCACCTTCTGGAGCTACTTGTCCTATAGTTTCTCCATTGGGCCCTGTTTCTGATCTTTCTTCCTGCCCCTGGGCTGGACCTGTGGCTCCTACAGAGCTAGTTCCTACAGCACCAGCACCGGCAGTGACACCCATAAAACGTTCTCCTCCTTTGACATCTGCCTCTGATTCAGGGGTCCCAATCAAGCTTGCTTCCAGTCCTGGAGCTTCTCCAGCGCAGCCTTCTGCAGTTCCTCTTGGAGCCCTGGCAGGGATGCCTTCTAGATTACAGGCCCCTGCAGCATCACAGGAAAAGCCTGCTTCTCCAGCCCCTGTTTCTGCCCCTGGGGCACCTGCACCCCAGTCACTCGTGGCGCCTCTCACACCTATTTCTGGGTCACTAACATTGCCTGTGGTCTCAACAGAGGTTTCTTCTAGTCCTCTGGTGCCGGCTTCCACCCCCAAAACTTCTTCTGTAGTCTCATCACCAATTGCATCTAAACCTTCTACTCCACTTCTGAAACCAGCTTCTGCTTTGATACCTACAACTGCCCCCTTGGTCCCTGCTGGGACTTCAACTGTGCTGGCTTTTAACCCTGAGCCCACTGCAGTGGCCCATGAAGTATCTTCTTCTATGGTCATTCCTGTGACAAAGCCTGCTGCTGTTCCTACAAAGCCAGTTGTTTCTGTATCTAGCCCAGTAACATCTAACATAGCATCTGCCTCCCCTCCTGCTGCCACTCCAGCAGTGACTTCACCATTGCCCCCTCCCATCTCACCTCCTTCCTCACTGGTAGCACCAAGTTCTGTCTCTGCCCCCAAAACACCAGCTCTCCCTCCTGTCTCTCCTGCCACCTCAACTGCTGGGGAGCCAAAGACTTCTCCAAAACCAGTATCTGTGCCTCTTGTGCCATCTGATCTCTCTATTTCTCAGCCTGCTTCCCCTATGAAAAAGCCAGCTTCCTCTGTGCTTCCTAAGCCATTGCCAGCTTCACCTGCTTCTGGTGCAGCCACTGAAGTGCCATCCCAAATCCCAACCCCTTCCTCCGTTGTCCTTGAAGATGATGAACTGCCACCTTTGATCCCACCAGAGGTGCCCGCTGGGGAGCCACCTCTGCAGCCAGTCCTGGTGGATTTCTCTCCTAAACCAGCTGTAGCTCTTGCTGAGATCCCAGCAAGTGCTCCTCTTCTTCCTCCTCCTCCTCCTGCCAAACAGCCTGTCGTGAAGAATGACAAGGGTATTTGCCTCCGTTTGCTGTGTGCATGGATATCACAGACTACTCACTGAATACTAATTTGTCTGCATAGTACTCTGCTTTGATTGTTAGCTTAGAAAAGTAGTATTTAGAAGTGAAGTGAACTCCTCTTAGCCTGAGTATATCAAATACGGTCAAAATCATTTGAAGGCTCCTTTTGTGTGTACTGAAGACTCAAATGTGTGTATAGGCCGCAAATGGGAGTGTCTGTTCTCACGCTGAGCATGCTGTGTCTGATAAAGGGTGCGACATCAGCCACGCCTCATCCAGTATTTCTGGAATAGTGCTAACCTAGAAACTCTAATCACTGCTTTGTTTGCTGTAGCACTTGCTGCCCTCCCAGCCTGTTTTCTGCAATTCTAGTATTTGCTTCTGATTGGTTACTTAGAAGATCTTGCTGACTACAGTTGATGTGAATGAGATGGTCACAATTTTAGCATGTGTTCCTTTGTGCAGAATTGTGTCTTATCCTGTTTGTGGAAGGATACATTGCAGACTAAAACTAACATCTCTGCCCCATTTGTAGACTTATCTCCAGTTGCAAGTCTCAAGTAGACTTATGGAAATAATGAAATATGCATTAATGTTCTAACTTCAGTGCATCTATTCAGTTGGTTTGAGGCCTTCTTCTGCATTGTCTGTGTGTGTCCTTGGAGCATGGTCTCTTTATTGTCAGTAGGAGTAATGTGTTGGATGTGTATTTAAACAGTGTGTTTAAACGTCATGTGTTAATTTAGGCACCTATTAAAGATCAGAAATCATTAGTCTGTGGTTATAGCAACCAGTCACTTCAGTGTTGGCTGGCACGAATACAGCTGTAGGGAAAGATATGGAGGCATTTCATGAACTGGATTTAGCTCATTAGATCATTAACAGGTAAAGAGGGGGTAGCCATTTGTTCTTGTTCCAAGAAAAGTGTAGCCTGGACATATTCCATTGCTTTCACATTTGTAGCTGATAACATTATCTCACATTACAGCACACACATCCTACGTTAAAATAATCTCTTGAGCCAGCAGTCCACTGAAATAAGGAAGAAGGTATGCTGCATCCATTCATCAGTGAATGTATTGTATCTGTCTTTCATGGAGATAGCAGTGAGTATAGAGCTGGTATGGGCAAACTTCGGCCCTCCAATGTTTTGGACTTTAGTGCTTAGAAATCCCAGCCAGCTTACCATTTATTAGGAATTGTGGGAGTTGAAGTCCAAAACATCTGGAAGATAGAAGTTTGCCCAAGCCTGGTATAGAAGATCATGAAGTGAAAGATATTTGTCTCATAGTCACAGACCTTGAACTTTTGAAAACTCTGCCTTTTTCTCATTTCAAAAATTGAAAATCACAAAATCATTGAAAATCACAACATTGAAAATCACAAAATCCAGTCCTTGCAGATACACTTACCTTTTCTGGATAGTCAAAATTTCAAAATTATGAGTACTCCGGTTTTTCTTTTTCTTTTTTTTTCCCCCTTCACTTCCTCTTCACCTTCCCTGACTACTCTTGAAGCTCCTTCTTCCTTTCCATGATTAGAAGTAACGTGTTTCGTTAATAATACGCTTTGCAAATTGTTGCTTGTAGGCAATCCTGGGTAGTGCTAGTTGTAAAGTGGGGGGAAATGTATTTAGTCAGACACCCATTGTACAAGTTCTCCCACTGATGAGAGAGGCCTGTAATTGACATCATAGGTAGACCTCAACTATGAGAAAAAACATGAGAAAACACATCCAAAAAATCACATTGTCTGATTTTTAACTAATTTATTTGCAAATTATGGTGGAAAATAAGTATTAAAAAAAGTTCATCTCAATACTTTGTTATATATCCTTTAATGGCAATGACAGAGGTCAAACATTTTCTGTAAGTCCTCACAAGGTTGGCACACATTGTTGCTGGTATCTTGGCCCACTCCTCCATGCAGATCTCCTCAAGAGCAGTGATGTTTTGAGGCTGTCGCTGGGCAACACGGACATTCAACTCCCTCCAAAGGTTTTCTATAGGGTTGAGATCTGGAGACTGGCCAGGCCACTCAAGGACCTTGAAATGCTTCTTACGAAGCCACTCCTTCGTTGCCCTGGCAGTGTGCTTGGGATCATTGTCATGCTGAAAGACTCAGCCACATTTCATCTTCAGTGCCCTTGCTGATGGAAGGAGGTTTGCACTCAAAATCTCATGATACATGGGCCCATTCATTCTTTCATGTATACGGATCAGTCACCCTTTGTAGAGAAGCAGCCCCAAAGCATGATGTCGCCACCCCCATGCTTCACAGTAGTTATGGTGTTCTTTGGATGCAACTCAGCATTCTTTCTCCTCCAAACATGACAAGTTGTGTTTCTGCCAAACAGTTCTATATTGGTTTCATCTGATCATAGGACATTCTCCCAATACTCTTCTGGATCATCCAAATGCTCTCTAGAAAACTTCAGTCGGCCCCGGACATGTACTTGCTTAAGCAGGGGGAAACATCTGGCATTGCAGGATCTGAGGCCCTGGCAGTATAGTGTTACTGATGGTAGCTTTTGTTACGTTGGCCCCAGCTCTCTACAGGTCATTCACTAGGTTCCCCCATGTGATTCTGGGATTTTTGTTCATTGTTCTTGTGATCATTTTGACCCCATGGGGTGAGATCTTGCGTGGAGCCGAGGGAGATTATCAGTGGTCTTGTATCTCTTCCATTTTCTAATTATTGCTCCCACAGTTGATTTCTTCACACCAAGCTGCTTGCCTATGGCAGATTCAGTCTTCCCAGTCTGGTGCAGGGTGACAATTTTGTTGCTGGTGTCCTTCGACAGCTCTTTGGCCTTCACCATGGTGGAGTTTGGAGTGTGACTGCTTGAAGTTGTGGACAGGTGTCTTTTATATGGTAACAAGTTCAAATAGGTGCCATTACTACACGTAATGAGTGGAGGACAGAGGAGCCTCTAAAGAAGGTTACAGGTCTGTGAGACCCAGAAATCTTGCTTGTTTGTAGGTCTGCCAAATATTTATTTTCCATCATAATTTGCAAATAAATTCATTAAAAATCAGACAATGTGATTTTCTGGATGTTTTTTCTCATGTTGTCTCTCATAGTTGAGGTCTATCTATGATGTCAATTACAGGCCTCTATCATCTTTTTAATTGGGGAACTTGTACAATTGGTATCTAACTTAATACTTTTTTCCCCACTGTAGGTTTTTCCCAGTTTAGACAGTATGACAAACCTTAAAATGAAAGGTGTAAATGTGTATGCAGCAGAAAAAGAATGTATGTCCGTAACACATTTTTTATGTCCAGACCATGATCTGAATTTCAGCTGCCTCTATCTATTCAAACTACTTTACAAAGCAGAGATGACACATTGAACCTGCTGTTGAAACTATGATTATACTCCTATGAGTATATACAGATGTGTGTGTGTGTGTGTGTGTGTGTATGTGTGTATCTGTATAAGACAAGGGCAATTTTGGGGGCCAAACATATGTATTTGCTATAAATAAGTTGAGGGTTACATTAAGGGGCCCACTTGAAATTTAGAGACACACAAATAAGTGTATGGCAAGAGTATCATTATGATGACCCTGGCTGTTGTTCCTGCAGCTGTGTGGGGTCAGTGAAACCTGTAGGAAAGAAAGGCAGCCTTCCTCACCTTTTTTCTCCCAAGCGGGAGAGCTTCTGCAGTACACCTCTATTAAAAATGGCCACCAGCCTCAAGAGGCTTATACAGCAAGCTCCTATTTAAATTGGCCACCATAATCATAGTTTCAAGACTGCTGCTCTGCTTTACTTCGGGCACCCAAAATGATGGGAAGTAGACCTCATCAAGCCAGCAGTGTCATGTTTATTGACCAATCAGTAAGCCCACTGAGATTTTTAGAGTTATTTTTGTAAAAAGAAAACAACATTCTGCACAAGTACATGCTTTATATAATTTATCCAATCTGGAATAGCTGCACCTGTCCAGATGCTTGGTTTTAATTGGAACACATGCTGAGAACAGTAATTGTTTGGAATTCTTTTCTTTCAAACACTCCTACCCAACAAATCAATGGACAATGCCTGTCAGTATATAGAACATTATTACTGATTTGGTGTAGTCTGTCATGGTGAAAGAGAGTAGGAGCGCATTCACTGTCTTGTAGCCCTGGCTGAGTGAAACCCAGAGTACACTTGTCATGCCACTGTTTCCACCACCACACTACTGCACAAATCAAAACACCTATTATGTAAAACACTGTCAATTCCAAGTTATCTGTGTCTGTAGATTTTGTCTTTTCCATGTCTGCTTTCTTCCTGTGTTGGCTATAAATTTCTGTATAACCAGATAATTCTGACATTTGTTGGCTCAGTGGTGGGTTTTAAATGTGCACTGACATAATAAAGGAATGAAAGATGTCACCGAGCAACCCAACCCTTCCCATTTTGCCTGGGCCTGCTTGCCACTCCCAACAGAGACCAAATTGTGAAAGAAAATGTGCCTATTTGTTTCTGTAGGGTCCGGGACAGAATCCGATAGTGATGAGTCGGTGCCAGAACTCGAAGAACACGACTCTACACAGACCACAACGCAGCAGGCACAGGTAGGAACATCCTAAAAAGAAACAGACCACTGACTAGAGTTTTCAGTTTAAATGGCATCCTAGGCTGGGCTACAGAATATCAATCATGCAACAAATATATGTCAATCTAAAAAAAAAACTCCACCAAAATGCCTGATAAAGCCATTTACACTGTAGATTTTGTTAGTGTGAAGTGGTTTTACATTGGTGCAACTGTACAGTGATCCAGCAGGTAAAATAATAAGGAATAAGGGAGAGAAAAAAGAAGTGGGGAAGGAAGGAGAGAAGGAAAGAAAAAAAGGGAAGGAAGGAGAGAAATAGGGAGGGAAGGTTGGCCACAGCAACTCATGGCAGGTACAGCTAACTTGGTATACCTCTCTCTATCTATCTATATATATAAATCAGGTATACCTAACTTGGCACACAGAACCCCCATGACCAACTGAACAGAATCTGAACGTACTGGAGGGATTTGACGGGACTGACCCCTCATGGTTGGAGTTGTAATTCATCCTTCAGGGAGTTAATCTGGCATGATGTGAGTTGTAGTACACCCACAACCTTATGCATTTTGTAAAATAAAAAAAAAATTCTAATAACCCGAGCAACGCTGGGTACCCAAACTAGTCTAAAATAAGAGAATTTCAGTGTAGTCCCAAAGATTGAATAGAAAGTTTTATAGACCTAATTATATAAAACCATTCAAATAACAGCCTATTTCCCAGAAGATGAGAGGTTAACATCCGGTATGTTTTGGGTTGCTCTTTCCACTCCCGGAATTTATGCAAACTCTCCCCAAAGAGCAGTCTTGTTTCCTGCCTCAGCTCCTACAGCATCATTTGCTCAACTGAGCTAATGCGACCCAGCTAAGAAGCCTACCGTTTTGCCTTATTACTTCCTTTTCTTTATCTTTAAACCTTCCAACCTAAATCTTTGAAAAAAAAATCAAGAGAGCCCCGGATGCACCCCCCCCCCCCCCCCCCCCCCAAATAGTATAATAGTTAATAGTATCCCCCAGGGGCAGAAGTAGCACTTTGGCCACTTGAGGGTTCCCCTCTGAGGGACTTGTGTAGCCTTTCAAATCGATGGCTATAGTTCACCTGTAGACTAAAGGACCTATACTGGCAGTTCTGTTGTAGCAGATGATTATTTCTGTCTCAGCCCATAAGATGTATTCCATATTGAGCCGGTCTGAGTCCCTCTACGGAGGTTGGAGAAGATCGGGATATAAAAGTTTTAAATAAATATTAACAAACCAGCGGAACACATACTGCACTGAAACAACTGCTGCAGTGATGGGGTGCTCTGTTTTGCCCAGCTTTCCTATTTTATTTATTTATTTACTGTATTTATATCCCGCCTTTCTTACCTCGAAGGGGACTCAAAGCAGTCTTACAATAGGCAACAATTCGATGCCGTAAAACATTAAACAGACACGTAATAAAATAAACAAATACATTAAAATATAAGATTAAAAACATTAAAACCAATTATTAGTAAGAACCACATAATCCGAAATCTTACTCAAGGAGCTGTTCCAGTCATGATTACACATATTCCATCTTCCCTTATTGCAGTGCATTGTTATCCAAAGGCTTGGTCCCACGGCCATGTCTTCAGTTTCTTTTTGAAAGTTAGGAGGGAGGGGGCTGATCTAATGTCGCTGGGGATGGAGTTCCACAACTGAGGGGCCACCACTGAGAAGGCCCTGTCCCTCATCCCCACCAACCTCACCAGCGAAGGAGATGGGATCGGGAGCAGGGCCTCTCCAGAAGATTTTAACCTGTTCATATGGGGAGATATGTTCTATCTCCCCTCTGCCCTGCCCCCCCCCCAAAAAAAAGAAATAATATTCTTCCTGAAGAGAATTGTGGAAAGTCTCCAGAGTGAAGGATTTCAAAATTTAATGGACACTTGTATGAACACCTCTCTTTATTCCATTATGCTCCTGATTTAGCACATGGATGATACATCTGTTCCCATCAATCTCTGCCATAATGGTATATGCAGACAGTGTTATTATCTCTTTGACCTGCAGTGTAAATCTGGAGGAGTTATCCTTCGGAAAATCCTTCAAAGATGTGTTATGATTGGAGAGGCAGTCCACTGGAGTTTCCCTTAATCTGTTTTTATGTGTCTTTTTTTCTGGCAGCTTGCAGCAGCAGCTGAAATAGATGAAGAACCAGTTAGCAAAGCAAAACAAAGCCGGAGTGAAAAGAAAGCACGAAAGGTAAAACCTAGTTGGTAAAAACAACTGAACTGTTCCGAGTCTCCAGCTACAAGATGCAGTAGGAGCTACTGCATCTTTTGTTCCCAAAGGGCGGGCAGAGGTGTACAAACAACACCGGTATCATTTGAACTTGCCACTCATGGTGTTTTTGCAAAACCCATTTAATGTAATGTATAGCTATCTGAGTCCCTGTGATTATTTGTCCTTTTGAGAAATGTATCCGTGTAGAGATAGTTGGGGTGAGCCAGGGTAAGTTAGGAATGGAGCCATTTCTCTCAGCATATTTTCCTTGCCCTGCTTGTCTTCTTTGGAAAGGGAGTCAGGCATGAGATAAACTTCCAGAATCAGCTCCTCCCAACAAAAAGAAACCAAAATAGTTCAAAATGAGAACTATTCCCATGAGTATTTAGCTTGCTCACTTTTTCTCAGGAGAATTTTTATGTTTGGAGAATTGAATTTTGCTAAACTGAGGGAGTCAGCTGATTAACTGACATTGTGTTCCCATTTTACAGGACCTGAAGCAGGCACTGCAGGGTTAATTATGCAACTAGGAACAGATCCATATGCTATGTTTGCACACTCAGAAAAAAGGCTTTGAAGGTTTCTGTGCATTGATTAGATTGGAAAAGATGCCTGAATGTTGTCATGGATGTTTTATAGCCGTAGTTAATGCCCTTTGCTTTCCAACCACGGTCTAGTCTATTTCAGACTTGAAACTTTTCTTCCCAATCTTCTCTGTTTTAAAGGCAATGTCCAAGCTCGGCCTTCGTCAGGTCACAGGGGTAACAAGGGTAACTATCCGGAAATCCAAGAACATCCTGTTTGTCATCACCAAGCCAGATGTATACAAAAGTCCCGCATCAGATACCTATATAGTTTTTGGTGAAGCAAAGGTAAGCTGAACTTCGGAATCCTGGCTGTTCAATTTCTGTAACAATACAGCCCCTTCACTTACCAAGTTGACTTGCAATATAACAGAGAACTGCATTATCCAGCTGTTCTGTCACTGCTTGGTAGCTGTGTTCCATTTGCCTTGTTCATCATTAGGTGCTTCTTGTGTTGTAACAGACCTCCCTGACTTCTCTCTTCATCTCTACCAGATTGAAGATTTGTCACAGCAAGCACAGCTGGCTGCGGCTGAGAAATTCAAAGTACAAGGAGAAACTGTTTCAAACATTCAAGAAAACCCACAGACTCCAACTGTACATGAAGAAAGCGAAGAGGAAGAGGTATGCCACACTCTACATGCATACATTGATACAAATCAGGATTTGTAACTAGCAACGGTCAGAAAAAATATCTACTGCTAGTTGAAAATGTCTTTACTGGGGTTTACTCTAACTAAGACAGGAAAGCTTAGAGAAGACAATTATGCTGGAGAAAATTGAAGGGCCGACCAGGGGCAAGATGGGTGGGTGGCATCCTTGAAGTGACTGGATTGACCTTGAAGGAGCTGGGGGTGGTGATGGCCGACAGGGAGCTCTGGCGTGGACTGGTCCATGAGGTCACGAAGAGTCGGAAACGACTGAACGAATGAACAACAAACTAACTTCAGGAAGGGACACATTTTCTTTATCCAGCCTAGTTGTCCTCCAGGCAGGGGCAGGAAGTACATCTTCGTGTTTGTTTGTGTGCTTTTGTTTGCTCACTGCTCACCGCATCTGTTAAAAACTTCTAGCTTATTTGCCTCAACAAGGTATGCACCATCCTCATAGTGTACTGCCTTCCATTTCCTTCTACTCTTGAGTCTCTACAAGTCCTCATAAATGCACAGCCTGGTCATTTGTGACCGGGCTGCAGCCAGACATAGCCATCGTGTAGACTGGTTTGTCCCTGCCAGTGTCACAGCTTCCTGCTTGAATCCTCAAGTTTTATTTTCCTGTTACTTTCCTGTTGAATGGATGGGATGGTAGATAAAGTTGATAAAGCCAGAAAAGGCAGTTGTCCCTAGAGACCCTGTATAATATACTTGTGCATTTATATTAAAATTAGTCATTTGCATGTGTTACTTGGGGTATTCTCATAAGAACCATTTTACTTCAGCTAGCAAGAGGCAGTCTTTTAGAACTTCCTGCTTCTATTAACTGTCACAGTATTAGATATTGCATAGAAAAATAATAAAGGTAACTTGTTTTTCTTTCAAGTACTGATATACAGAGCAGCACAAGCACAGGTCTTGAATTTTTGGTGGCATTTCTTTACTAGGGCTCACACATGCCTTACAAGATGCTGATGACTATAATTGTCCTAAGGCTTGCAAACCATCAATGCTTGTGAAATGCGTTGTCATGCACTTAGCTCCCTAACTGTTGTCAAAAGTATTATCCAAGCATTCCAACCTTGAATTTTACTGGCAGTTTGATCTTTTACTTTCATTTTACCACAGATAGATCATTTTTCTGCAATTTGCTTAGCATGTGGAAGTGAGCAGAAGCCAGGCCATATTGTGGTTCATGAACTCTTAACATGTGTAGAGTGCATTCACACTGCCCACCATGTACTAATCCCTTCTTTCTTAGCACTGTATATGTTGTAGTACAAAATTAATACAAAGGAGGTAGGCCTACCAGGATTCTTAGACATTTTTAAATTAAATTTTGTGTTTGTGGTTCTTACCTTTGGAGATGTTGCCCTGTTCAGTTTTGTTTTCCCTCCTTTTCTGTTTACTATAAACCATGCCTGGGCAAACTTCAGCTCTCTGGGTGTATTGTTAGGAATTATGGGAGTTGAAGTCCAAAACTCCTGGAAAGTCCAAGTTTGCCCATGCCTCTTGTAAACCATGTATTTGTCTATCCTGACAAATAAAACATTGAGGGAGAGTGATTTTTCTCACACTTACTAGTGAGCTTACAGCTGTAACTTGGACCCTGTTAAAGATCTGTTCTGACCACTTTAAAAACCTTTACAAGCATTTACATTTGTGAAGATAGTCTGATGGAGTCCTCACAGCATCTTGCCTATTGGACAGAAAAACTTTGAGCCACTCGCCTAAGAGACAATCAATTTCTTCCCATTTAGGTCGATGAGACTGGTGTCGAAGTGAAAGACATTGAGTTAGTGATGTCCCAAGCAAACGTTTCCAGGGCGAAAGCCGTCCGTGCCCTGAAGAATAACAGTAATGATATCGTAAATGCAATTATGGTAAGTGGCTTGCTGAATTCCATTTGAAGATCAAGCGGTGGACTCCAACGAGATGTCAGATAAATCACACTATATTCTACCTGCTATGTTTATGTAGGAGACAGAGGAAATGCACAAGTGTTCAATGTTATATCCTAGGCAACTGGTTGGAAACCAGGCACTGTATCTTTTTCAGCCCTCATCTGATTGCTTTATCACAGCTAGAATTACACTCTCTGTTTTCCTTGCCCTCTATGTCTCAGCGATCATAAGCAGCCAAAACAATAGCCTCCAAGGTTACTTGGCTATGTAGAACAGATAAACAGTTTTCTTGGTTTTGCTCTGATATACTCCCATGAACATCCACATCCTGTTTCATAGGATGAACAGAGTTCCTAACTTGTTTCTTTTCATTTCTTTACAGGAATTGACGATGTAGCCTCTCAGAGAATAAAACTTTTGGTGTTACAGAGGAGAATAAATGGCCGCTGACCTGAAAATTTGTACTATTTCTATCAATAAAAGTTGTGGTTTAGAAGGTTTCACTCATATTTTTTGTTTCTTTTGGTTTCAACTGAAATCCTTGATAAGCTAAAAGGAAATTGATTGTGATGCTTTACAATTGAACTTAGCTAGTTACGGAAATGTTTTGTAGTCATTCCTTGAAACACTTCTGACATGTCAGAGGACTTGGCCTTAATGTGGTTCTTTGTAAGGCATGGTATGCTCTTCTGGCATTGAAAAAATAGAGTTTTGGTCATAGATCTAGTGCTTTTCTAGTATGGAAACACTCTCTTAACAGTCATGGCTGATGCAGGCATTCATGCTAGGAAAGACTGAGTAATTCTCTGCAAGGAACAATTTGTCCTTCAGTTTCAGTGAGTTTAAAAGAAAACATGGTGCTGCTTCAGAGGTTTGGCTTGGTGTTGAGCTATCTCATATTTGAGCTCTTGCCATTGCCTGTCACAGTTTGTTCATGTACTTCCAGAGTTCACAGACCTATTACAAACAGTACAATAACTGCACCTCTGAATTTTTGTTTTGTTTTGTACATTGCACTACTGTGAGTAAACAGAGCCAGTCTTCCTTATTGTTTGCACAGAATTGAGGTGGAAAAATTAGATTTAGGCCTAAGTTAGAAATTGAGAAACCTGTGACACATCCAATATTGTTGGATTCTGACTCCCATTAACCATAGTTTATTGTAGGAATGGGAGTTGTAGTCCAAAAAGAAAGATGGAAGGCCACAAGTTTGTAACCTTTATTTCAAATTTTGAGATATTAAATACAAGGACACACTTTAAACGAGGTACATAATGCATGTGGAGCCCAAGTTGACTTTCAAGAAGAGATCCTTGTTTCTGCTCCTTGCAGCATAGCTCACTGGCAGGACTGAGCTAGTCACATCTTTCTGCAGCAGTCCGCTCAGCAACAACAGACTTCCATCGCTCTGGACAGTTGGCTGGCTTTTAAGATGCATTTGGGGTCATTTGGGGTTGTGGCAACTACCATGTCTAAACAATTGTGACTTGGGCAACTTGCGTTTATCTCACATTGCTCTCCCCATCTATAAACCACTCTTCTAGATGTATTGGATTACAACTCCCAACATAAATCTGGATATAGGATTTTGAGGGCTGAAGGCACATTGGCAGGACAACAGGCTGGGGAAAGCAATTTGCAACAAAAGAAAACTTTTCTAAAAGTATATTACCAGTATTCTCACTGTTGGTTTGCACTTGCTTCAAAGGAATACAAAGTGTCAGGAGGTCCATGGAATAATTCAGGGTACAAATCAGTTTATTTATATTTATTTTTAGCCACATATGTCCTGTGAAATGTTAAAGGGTATGTATTAGAACTAAATAAACATACTTCCTGGTAGTCTTCCAGCTGTGCCTGAACATCTGTCTCTTAGAAGTGCTCTGGCTCTAGATTGCCTCAATTAAGCAGGGCATTGGGGTGAATGGCCATCAAGCCATCCAAAATCTGTTATTTTGTGTAACAGAGATAACTGAACGAACAATATAACAGTATGAAGCTATTTATTCTAGCCAGCCAGTCCACTGCCAATTTGCATCATTGCAAAGATGCTTCACCCAACAGTCTAGAGGTGCATCTATACTGAAAATTTAATGCAGTTTGATACCACTATAACTGCCATGGCTACTATGGAATCCTGGGAGGTGTGCTTTGATGAAGGACCAGCACTCTGTCAAAGAAGGTTAAAGATCTTGCCAAATAACAACTCCCAGGATTTCACATCATTGAACCATGGCACTGAAAGCAAAATCAAACTGCATTCATTCTGCGGTGTAGATGCACCCTAGTTTTACAGTTGGGAGGTTTTACAAGCATTTACATTGATTTCGTGGAACATCTCCCCTTGGAAAATGCTTTGAAGGCTGCAAACCCAAAAATATTCTAAAATCAGACTTCCTTTTCCAGCATTATCACAGATTCCTGGAACCTACTCTCCAAGGCAGTTGTCCCACACTTCTAAATATGTGCTGTCTTTGGCATATGTGTTCTATAGTCCCATTATGTTTAACGTTTTTCCAAATTTGTGCATATATACTCATGTCACCATAGAGCCCTTTCTGTACCTTTGAAGGAATTGCAGTGGGGATTGTGTGCATTGAACATTACATCTGAGACCGGTCTTCTCATCAATATCTATATATGGAGGAGGAAATTGGGAAAGAAATTTAAAAAAGGAATCTCCACGACCTTCTCATCTCTTCCAGGGTATTATTCTTGCTGTACAACGTGTAGACTGCAATCCTGTGCCCATCTACCTGAGACTAACACAATAGGTTTTAATGTATTGTCAAAGTCTTTCATGGCTGGAATCACTGGGTTGTTGTAGGTTTTCCAGGCTGTATGACTTATGTTCTAGAAGCATTCTCTCCTGACGTTTTGCCTACATATATGGCAGGCATCCTCAGAGGTTATGACCTCACAACCTCTGAGGATGCCTGCAATAGATGCAGGCGAACCATCAGGAGAGAATGCTTCTAGAACATGGCCATACAACTCGAAAAACCTACAACAACACAATAGGTTTTCTTACCAGATTTTCACACTCAGTCTAATATTAATGGGCAATGGGAGGCTCAGGAAGCATTGTTTTGAGGGGGCCTTAGACAAAAGGGCCTTCTGGTGGTATAACAGCAGTTCAAAAACATGCAAATGTGAGTAGATCGATAGGAACAGCTTCGGCGGGAAGGTAACGGCACTCCATGAGGTCATGCTGGCCACATGACCTAGGTGGTGCCTACAGACAATGCCAGCTCTTCAGCTTAGAAATTGAGATGAGCACCACCTCCCAGAATCGGACACAACTAAACTTAATGTTAAGGGAAACCTTCACCTTTACTTTTAGACAAAGTACTCTTCAGTAAACCTACACTTGTGCTAATGACCTCCTCTCAGACATCCTTAACAGTATTAGGTGGTCAACAACATCATCCTCCAAAAACGGGTAACAGGAGCGCACAGAACATTTTCAGGAGAATTGATACATACTGAAGCTACCCATAAATTATATGGGATAGATAACGGAGTGTGTGCTACCACTTCATGTTCTGTGATTTCAAGCCATTTCTGACTTAGGGAATCTTAAGATAAACTTATCATGGAGTTTCTTTTTAAAAATATGTTCAGAGGGGGTTGCCCTTGCCTTTCTCAAAGCCTGAAAAAGCGTGACTAATCCAACACTCAAAGCTCTATACCATGCTGGCTCCTTGTGATAATACACAAGATACTATAAAGTACACTAGCCCCCGGTTGCGCAGCAGGTTAAACAGCTGAGCTGCTGAACTTGCTGACTGAAAGGTCAGTGGTTCAAACCAAGGGAGCAGAGTGAGCTCCCACTGTTAGCCCCAGCTTTCGCCAACCTAGCAGTTTGAAAACATGGAAGTGTGAGTAGATCAATAGGTCCCACTTTGGTGGAAAGGTAACGGTGCTCCATGCAGTCATGCCGGCCACATGACCTTGGGCTCTTCAGCTTAGAAATGGAGATGAGCACCACCCCCCAGAGTCGGACATGACTAGACTTAATGTCAAGGGGAAACCTTTACCTTTATAAAGTACAGAGAAAAATAGATTGCAAGGTAAGAACTCAATCCACTCATTTATGAATTACTTCAGCATTGCCTTCTTAAAGGAGACTTTCCAAACTCTGGCTGGAATTTTTCATTTCATTATACCTTCAACTACTGTAACTGAAAACACTTTGTCCAGGTTCTCTTCCAACCAGGATTCTAACGTAGTGTCGCTGAGATATTTTATTGCTGCCTCTCAGACCAAGAGGCCTAGTATGGGAAGCCTAGGGTGAACATCAATATTAGCAAGACCTGCCAAGGTTACAGTGCCCTGGCAATTGCCTTGGGCACTAATCCCAGGCTTGCACTCGGCCCTACATCCATTCCCAGGTAACAGGGCATCGCACTCAATCATCTCTCTACCTTCTGTGTCAGCAGACACTTCACCTCAAGCATATTGCAATTGTAGCTGTACGAGTTAAAAACGTACTTGCCATTGGGCAACATAATTGGGATGAGGAAGCTGCAGTATAAGCTGTTGTTTGAATAAATCAACATGCAATCAACAGAAGGGATTGGGAAGGATCAATGAGGTGGAGATACAGTTTTAGTGTCTCTTATTTGAAGTCATTGGGACCAGAAGTGCCTGCTTCTTCTCTCCTTCCATTGAGCAGTTGGGATGGAGGATATAGTAAGGGGCCTTTCCTCTGTTTCTTGGCTTGGACATAATAGAGATGTGTCTGGCCTTGGCATGATGGAGCTGTTGTCTGCCTCTCCCTCTCTTCCTCAGGGGGCCAGGGAGGTGGTAGCTAAGACAGTAGGGGGATTTCCTCTGCTTCTGGGCCTGGCATGATGGAGATGTGCCTGCTTCTTCTCTCCCTCTGTTGAGTAGTTGGAATGGAAGAAAGCCTTTTCTCTTCTTCTGGAGCTGGGTATGGCCAAGCTGCGCTTTCCAATTCTTCCCTTACATATTGGCTTTGGTATATCCATGTCCACCACTTTGATAACCTCTATCTATTTATTTATTTATGTATTTATTTATTTATTTATTTATTTATTTATTTATAATGTTTTGCCTGCTTGGAAATAAGGGGCTGATGGGCTTGCAAAGGACATGTTGCAACAAACTGAGGTCGAACCTAGAACTCCCTGCTTTCAAGCTGATCTGACCTGTAGCAGGGAGTTCCTCAGTTCTCTACTGTCCTGCTTGGGCCAACCTCCATGAATGTGGCCCCAACAGCAGCTACAACCCAGAAGCCTTCTTATTACTTCACTTTCTTCCCCTTCCTAACATTGTAACTAATCCCCCAATAAAGTACCAATTAATTGTAATTTTTTTCTCTCAATAGTGTTACTTTCTATCTTTTACTGCCTCCAAACTCTTCTCTGTATAAATCTTTCCTCTCCCAGGCTGCAGATGGCTGCCAGCCTGCCCAGGATGCGATTTTCACATCCTGGGGAGGCCAAAACTGCGTTCCTCTGAACCGCGGATACGGAAACCGA